TGAGAAAATGTCAAGTAAGAAATTCAAATATAGCGACAGTTACTTTATTTTTTGTTTACGTGGATTGGAGATGCAAAAAATCCAAATCCACAATGTGTACTTTGTGGTGAGGTTTTAGCTAATAGCAGTCTTAAGCCCTCATATATGGTCTGGCACTTATTAAACAAGACACAGCCATTTACAAGACATGCCTGTGTTTTTTTTTAAGGACAATAGGAGGAATTGCAGAAGAAGAAAAAAGGAGGCACAAACAAGCAATCTGAAGAGATGCACCATCGGTTTCCTGCACTGCAGCATCCACCAAGAAGCCCTAGCAATGAAAAACATGCCAGATGAACTTTTGTTCAGGTCTCAAATATTAGAAAGGGGTGCACACAACAAAAAGTTTGGGAACCACTGTTCTAAATTCATCTGCTGAAGTACAGTAGACAGACACATTATCATTTACTAATGTTCAACTCCCTCTTCGTTCTGTCATTCACAATGCTTTTAAATTAATAAATGCTCAGCATGAAACTGAATGGTGCTATTATTGTTTTATTACACGATGATAGCATGTTGACTTTAATACAACAAGAAAGTGTTAGTGTTGTGCTTAGAGTTTAAACTGTAAATATGTGGTTTCACACTTTGATTTCTGATTTAATTGAATCCAATTCAAACACTGATAATATTTTTATTTTTCAATTCAATTTACATTCACAAGCAGAGTATTGAAATGTATTACTGTACATGCAGATTTGGCATGCACTTACAACGATGTACTAATAATAAAACAGTTGTCAAAATGTTGATTAATTTATTCTTTACAGACTAAAAGTGGGAGAATTTAAAACAATGTCTGTTATAAATCATTATATTTCAGTTCATTTTTGAATGTAGCATATCAAATTATAATCAAATTAATTATTTGTTTAAATAATAAACTATAGATTTTTTATATTATTAGCGTTTCAGAGTGGAGTGTCATTCATCTGGTTTTCACTCAAAAAATATTTTTGCTGCTTGCTTGTTCTAATTACTTGTTTAAAAGGAGCTTTTTGGGAATAACTTAATTATTTCATGTTCAATCGACTTAAATTTGTAAAAACAATTAAGTTAACTTAAATTATTTATGTTGGGAGAACATGAAGGAATTGTGTTGAACCCTGCATTTTTACAGTGTTATTTCTATCCAAATGTATGTTAACACTAGAGCCCACTGTTTAAAATGTTATTTAAAAAATGTTGGATCTTCATATTGGTGGTCATAATTGCAGCGTTGTGTTGATTCTATGACGTGAGCCTGCAGTGATGAAGAACAAAGACAGAAAATATGTAAGACAGTGTTAAAGAACTAAGTATTTGTAATGTAATTCACACATAATCATTCACTTAAAAAACAAAATAACATTTACTGTACATTTTACCAGCACAATTAGGAAAAATAAAGTGTTTCCTGAATGATTTAACACACAGTTGACAATTCTAGTATTTTATTTACCTGTTTTAACCATTTAAACATAGACTGTAAATATGTTTAAGTCAGTTCAACAACAAAAACAACAACAAAAAAACACAATCCTTATTTCCTTTTGCTTTTTCTTGTTCACTCAACTTTTAAAAACATCAGCTGCACTGACCTCAAATTATCTTAGTGCGGCATTTGATACCATTGACCACAATATCCTCATAAATCGCTTAAAGTCTACAGGTGTCCAGGGACAGGCTCTACAATGGTTTAAGTCATACTTAACTGACCGCTACCAGTTTGTAAATCTTAATGGACAGCCTTCACAAATCTGCCCAGTAAAGTATGGGGTGCCTCAAGGATCAGTTTTAGGCCCTTTACTGTTTACAATTTACATGCTACCTATGGGAGACATTATTAGAAGACATGGGATCAGCTTTCACTGCTATGCAGATGATACTCAATTATATATTTCCACTAAACCTGACGAGACGTCTGAACTTTCTAAACTAACTGAGTGTATCAAAGACATCAAAGACTGGATGACCAACAATTTTCTTCTCTTAAACTCAGACAAAACAGAATTATTACTTATTGGGCCTAAATCTTGCACACAGCAGATCTCGCAACTCAATTTACAATTAGAGGGATACAAAGTTAGCTTTAGCTCTACTATAAAAGATCTGGGTGTCATATTAGACAGCAATCTAACTTTTAAAAACCATATATCCCATGTCACAAAAACTGCCTTCTTTCATCTGAGAAATATCGCTAAATTACGAAATATGCTATCCATCTCAGATGCAGAAAAGCTAGTCCATGCTTTTATGACTTCGAGACTGGATTACTGTAATGCTCTATTTGCTGGCTGCCCAGCATCCTCTATTAACAAACTTCAATTAGTGCAAAATGCAGCAGCCAGAGTTCTGACCAGGTCTAGAAAATATGATCATATAACCCCAATTTTATCCTCCTTACACTGGCTGCCTGTTAAATTTCGTATTGAATTTAAAATATTACTTCTCACCTATAAAGCTCTAAATAATCTAGCTCCTGTTTATCTAACCAACCTTCTGTCTCGCTACGAACCAACTCGCTCCTTAAGATCTCAAAATTCAGGGCTTCTGGTAGTACCTAGAATAGCAAAATCAAGTAAAGGAGGTCGAGCCTTCTCTTTCATGGCTCCTACACTCTGGAATAGCCTTCCTGGTAATGTCCGAGGCTCAGACACACTCTCCCAGTTCAAAACTAGATTAAAGACCTATCTGTTTAGTAAAGCATACACTCAGTGCATCACCTAGCAGGTTCCACACTGGCTTCTACATCTTGCTTATATACACTATGAACAGCAGCTACGCTAATTATTCTCTTTATTCTCTATTTTCACCTGGGGATACTCATCCCGAGGTCCTCAGATTAGGCGGAGTCACTGATTGGATCCAAGACCAGCGACGTGATGATCCCAAGGATTCCATATCCGGGACCAGGCCATATCCTGAGCTGCTGCTGCGCTGATGGTCGTGGGGAGTGGAGAACATGAGTCTGATTCCAGCGACGCTCCAGGGACAGACGAGTCTTCATTGAGGCCATCTTCCAGCATAAACCACGGCGAATGAAGTTCTGCACAAGACTTTTGGCCAGCGGAGAAATTAAAATGGTCGTGCCCAACTGAGTCTGGTTCTCTCAAGGTTTTTTTTCTTCACTCCCATCAGGTGAAGTTTTTTTTCCCTCTCCGCTGTCGCCACTGCCTCGCATGGTTCAGGATTGGTAGAGCTACGCATCATTGAATTTGCTCTTCAGTGTTTGAACTCTCAGTAATGATTAAATCACACTGAACAGAGCTAAACTGAACTGAACTGAACTTAAACACTAAAACCTGAACCACACTGTTCCAATTACTATGACCATTTATGTGAAGCTGCTTTGACACAATCTACATTGTAAAAGCGCTATACAAATAAAGCTGAATTGAATTGAATTGAATTTGTCAGTAATACAAAAACATTTAGTTGGGTTATTGGTTTTCTGGAGAAGTGAATACTCTGTAACTAAACTTTTTAAGTTGTGCCAACTCAAAATTTTTTGTCTGCAGAACTGGAAAGCCTAAAGTTGGGTGAACAAAAAAAAATCCTTTTTTTTTTCTCTTGTAATCAACTTTAATTGACAGGACAGTACACTGTAAAAAGTGATTAGTTATTTAAAGCGAGTAAACCAATTGCCCTAAAAGAAACAAGTTGACTTTATAAAAATAATGTCAGTAAACCCATAGTAACTTGGAACTGTTAAGTTGACTTAATTTGTATTATTATGAAAATTGTATTCACTTAAAAAAAATAAAAGTAAACTAATCACTTTTTCCAATACACATTTATTATACTTGTTTTTTCCCCCAGCTTTTCTGTATCAAGCAAAATGACAGTAACTAAAATAAATCTGCTCTTCCAGACTCCAGTGTGTCTTCTAAATTCAATACGGTTGTAGATTTTATAGATTTAATGAAGCACCAAATATGTAATATTGTAATAATTACAGTAATTATTTGAAAACAGACATGCTAAAATAGTCTGTCATTGTAAAAAAGAATTAGTCGACTTTAAAAAAGTGAGTACAATAAGCATAATTATAAAAATTCAACAATGGGTTAAGTTACAATGGGTTTACTTGCATTATTTTTGTAAATTTTGTAAACTTGTTGCTATTAAGATAATTGGTTTACTCACTTTAAGTAACTAATCACTTTTTACAGTGTAGAGAGTATAGAGAGGAAAGCATGGGGAGAGGAAGAGGGTCAGCATAGAACCTCAAGGCAGGAATCAAATTCAGGTGACAGGTCACTGAGAACACTGAAGTCGACGCACTAACCACTACACCATTGGTGCCGACGTGTACTTAACTTTTGAAAACATCAGTTAGACCCACTTAAAAATGTCTGAAGTTGACTGAACAAAAAACTCTTGTGGAAACTGGTACGAAGAAACAAAACATTATCAGAGCAAACTTTATCAGAACATAGTTCAATTTAAAAAATAAATAAAACAGAGACAAATGTTAATAAAACATTTATTCGATACAGAATTAGAAACAGGACAAGAGGTAAAACAACAACAGTAAACAAGATAAGGATCAAAACATGGCAGGGCAAACAGGGAAAAATGCTTTGTAATGCTTCATATGTAAAGCATGTCGTCCTGTTAGTATCAATTTCCACAAGAGTTTTTTGTTCACTCAACTTCAGACATTTTAGGTCAGTGCAACTGATGTTTTCAAAAGTTGAGGACAGATCGGGTTCCTTGGTTAGCGCGTCGACACACGGCACTCTGGTGTTCATGGTGAACTGAGTTAAACTCCTGCTTCGAGGTCCTATGCTGATCCTTTCCTGTCTATACTCTCTACTGTCCTATCAATTAAAGGTGAAAAAATGTTGAGTACATGAGAAAAAACAAAAGGAAACAAGGATTATGCTTTTTATTGTTGTTGTTGAACTGACTTAACTTTTTTTATAGTGTGCATGTTTCTAACATGATTGAAGACAAAACTGACATATTTAACAAGGCTGGAAAATGTGGTCAAAAAATGAAAACAGAACAACAGTATGCTGGCTGGAGAGAGGCAGTGTAATTTACCTTTGTGTGTTTTCTGAGGGAGCTGGCATGAGAGTATGTCTTATTGCAGCACATGCACATATATTGTTTGCCAGGTGCATGAACACGTATGTGCTTTTGTTTATCACTGCTGTTTGCAAACCTCCTTTCACAGGCCTCAAAAGGGCATCTGAAAGGTTTTTCACCTGCAACAAAAAGAAAAACTCAACTCAATCACTTCATGTACCATTAATGAAAAGACCAAAATGCAGCAATAACAAAAGTGGGTCACACATTATTTATTTTAATGTACAATTCACACTTTTAACAAACCATTTACTTAGACTTTTAGCTCAATAAACTACTAATCAGCTGCTTATTGATAGTTAGTAGTTGTGTTTATGTAAGATTAGAGTTGTAAAAAATAAGGTCATACTGTAGTTAACAAGTGCTAATAAACAGTTCATATCTCAATAATAGACAGGTAATAAACCAGTAGCAAATGCTGTGAAGTGTTACTCAAACTAAAATGTTACCCAAAAATATTACCTGTATGTGTCCTTTCATGAATCTTCAAGTTTTCCGCTCTGGCAAACTCCTTCCCACATCCGAAGGAACAGAGAAAGGGCTTTTCTCCCGTGTGGACCCTTAAATGATTGATCAGTTTGTACTTGGCCTTAAATGGAGTCCTTTGACGGGAGCAATCGTTCCATAAACACACATAATTGGATTCTCCGGACACATTAACATGCTCCGCCGTCAGATGGCAGATGAGCTCCTTCATTGTGCAGTAGGTTTTCTTACAGGTTGTCCCATATGTTGATGCTTCCAGCCACTGGCAAGTGAACCCCAACTCATTGAAGCTCATACAGAGCTCTCTAGACTGCATATAAAGTGGTCTATAAGAGTCTAGACTTATTCTTTCTCCTTGTATTGATCCACTCTGCATGGTGTAAAGCTCTTCTGTGGGTGGAAAGTATGTATAATTTTTTTCCATGACTGCAGAGTAGCCATCTGTCCAGACTGAAGGGTCATGCTGGCCCCAAGAAACTTCAAGAAAGCTCCTGTTGGACTGCAGAAGATCCCCCATCATCTGTGCATCACAAGTGGTGTAGAATTCAGCGCTATTATCCATAGAAATCTGATAACAAGAGGCGAGCACAGCCATACTTGCGTTGCGATATAATAAAGAGCGTTGGGTGTTACCGTGTTTTGCAGGCCTCCACTTGTCAGTTCAATACAACATTCATTAACGAATTGGTGCAGATGTCGATGGCTCTTTGATCTTCTTCAGAAAACGTTTGGACTGTGTGACGCTGTTTCGACAGAAGGTAATTTATATAGTGCGCTTAACATGTGGTTTTTGAATTCCCCAGACTCTCTTCATTTAGCATCTGTGTGCTTGTCATTCATCCTTCATTATCTGGAGACGCAGAAAGTATCAAAATTCTTCTTGGTTGTTACTTACTACTTAATAAGCCTACACTATTAATTAGACAAATCAAGCGTTGCATCCAGTCTTGCAGCTCCCTGTAGGCCAGCGGTTTCACTTTTTCAATCAAGATATGGTCTGTCATAATAAGATAAATGTATTCTTAAATACATCTTTGTTTTAAATTTATATTTGATGTTAGCTTTAATTATATTGCTAATTCACATTTACAAGACACTTAATTAGGCTTATCTGTTCAGTTTCTCAGACATCTTTTTCAGCTTCTTCTTGCGTCTGCAGTTACTCCTGTTGTATGCAGTTCATCCTTCCTTTCCCTGGATATCGTGGCTCTTGATACATCACAAAGACTTGCTGTCTTGGTCACAGATGCACCAATGAGACGCACATCAACAATTTGTCCTCTTTTGAACTCTTGAAGTGCAGTCACACTGCCCTTTTTGGCCCCAGAGACTTCCATTCATATGCAAGCGAATGCAAGAAACTGATAACGCAAGGTCTTGCAACAAGTTTTGCAGTTTGCTGCTTTACAAAATTTAAGTTTGGTGAACTCAGATCTGCGAAATTGCATCACGTGACTGTGTGAGACCAATCAACAATCAATCATAACCTCTCTAGATAGAGTTTTAAAATATGGACCAATCGCTCACTTTTTTAATGACTAATCATCTTGTTTAATCTAACCGCTTTTCGCAGCACCATAGGTTATGCCAGAATTTTGTTTACTCAAACTTTGGGTCGCATCCGAAACCGCCTACTCAGTAGGTACAGCATTTGAATTAGAAAAGTATGTTCCATGCAGTATGAATGGATGTCGGCCGTACTAAATCCGCCATTTTGTCATGATCACATGACCTACCTGCGTGAGTTGCATCGCTTTACTCCCATTCATGAATTCTCTCACGGGGCATCATAGGACAGAGTAGCGTCCATCCGATGCACACTTTAGAATCTCACTGGAAGTAGTAGGTCATCAGGGTAGTACTCATATTGTTTTTCGAATTCTATGAATTTGGACATACTACTCTGCTCGCATACTGATTTTAGGTACTATATTGAATGGAAGTATGCGATTTTGGATGCAGACTATGAATTCAGACATACTACTCGACTAGCATACTATTTTTAGCTTACTATATAGTATACAGTGGCTGCATCCAAAATCGCCTACCACTCAATAGGTACTGCATTTGAATTTAAATGTACTACTCTCCAATTAGAAAAGTATGTTCTATTGAGTATATGTGAGCAGTATTGATGCGTCCCAAATCGCATACTAATACACTATTCTACGCCATTTTGTAGTATAAATAGTGTAAGCAGTGTGTTCTCACTGAAAACTTTAAAAAGATTAAGTGCACTTTAAATACTCGCATGATGAACTTATTCAACCATTAAAATGAAGAGTGGACTGGTGAACACTTCACGCACTCAACAGCCGCAGTTTTGATCACATGGCGGAAGGGGCGGAGCTTTCAGGCCCTGATGCTGGATTACTTATTTATTTTGGACTGTGAAAGCAAAATTCTCATACGAGAGTGATTTATATTTCCCAGAGATGGAAGGGCATCTGCTGCGTAAAAACTTGCTGGATAAGTTGGCGGTTCATTCCACTGTGGCAACCCCGGATTAATAAAAGGACTAAGTCGACAAGAAAATGAAAGAATGAGAGAGATTTATAGCACCTCCCGATGGTTATACTCATGGCAGGTATTATTTGGTAGATTGGTAACTTATTTCATTAAGTTGTCTACGGTCAAACGTCATCAGGCAAATGGTTTAAATTTCCGTTTAGTAAAAAAACCCATTTAGGACTACACTACATCCATATACTATATTGTTGAGTGTGTAAGTGCATAAGTGTATATAGTGTGCCATTTGGGATGCAGCTTATGAATGGAACTCGGACGTACTACATCCGCCATTTTGTCAAGATCACGTGAGTTACGTCGCTTCATGAATTCTCTTGCAGGGCATCATGGGATTGCGTAGCATGCATCGGATGCACATTTTAGAATCTCACCAGTAGTAGTAGGTCATCCGGGTGCTTCTCGCATACTGTTTTTCGTATTCTATGAATTCAGACATACTACTTGGCTCGCATACTTACTTTAGCGTACTATATAGTATGGAAGAATGCGATTTTGGACGCGGCCAGTGTTAAGCCTGGTTTATACTTCTGCGTCAAGTGACCGGCGTAACTAACGGCACAGACAACGCGCACAGCTGTGCATTTATACTTCTGCGCGCTGTCTCTGTTGGTCTGCATTAACACTTCCGAAACGCTAGTTGGCAGTGAGGTGTAAATGTTCCTCTGTGTCGAGTTTCTTCGCTTCTGTTTTGCTTTTCCTAAACACTTCCTGGTTGTACAAGTGGCTCAAACTCGCTCATTTTGAGGCAGGAACCAGCGGACGTGCAACAACTTTAACTATGAGGTAAACACGAAACAAAACTTTCCATCCGGAGCTCCTTCACGGGACTCCACGCTTGTAAAAAAAATCGCTCGCGCCACTCGCACGGCTCTCGGTCACGCCCAGACTTGTCAGCGCTACCAAGCCAACCAATCACAGAGCTTGCCCTACGCGTTGTTGCGACGTGTAGTTACATTTTTTGAGAGGTGCACGTCAGTGACGCCGACGGCCACGGCGAAGGGCTATGCGTCAGCGCGGTAGCATACGCCGGTGTTTGACGCAGAAGTATAAATCAGCCTTTAGGGGTAACGCATTACAAGTAATGCAAGTTATGTAATAAAGTTACTTTTTTAATTAACAAGTAACACATTACTTTAAAAAAATGTATAAATTACTTTTTAAAAACATAACGGGAGTTATTTTTTAGCTTAATTAATTAATTTAGCTTAATTAAAACAGAAGCCAAGATGGCAGAACCTTACATTTCTGCGCTGCAAGTATTTTTCATTTTTCTGAACACATGGAAGACAAGTAAAAGGTACAAGTTTGTCTCAATACTCATTTTACTTCACTAATAGGACATAAAGTACAAAAGCATCAATCAGATTGCTTTCAACTGTCATTAATCTGCATATACGGCATGTACAGGATGCGCCATTTATATGGATACACCTTAATAAAATGGGAATGGTTGGTGATATCAACGTAAGATACAAGATGTGCAGCGCCTGAAACTATGGATACTGGAAGCCTGTGCTGGCATCTCTCCTGCGGTGTTGCTATCAGTGTGTGAGGAGTGGGAGAAGAGGATTGCATTGAAAATTCAACACAATGGGCAGCATATTGAATTTAACACATTTTATAAGTGGTCAAAAGTTTGTAAATAACTCATGGAAAAATAAAGTAACTTTAAAACCAAGTGCACCGTTGTTTTTCTTGTGAAATTCCCAATAAGTTTGATGTGTCAAATGATCCTCTTCCTATTGAAAAAACAAAAGTTGGATTTAAGATGGCTGACTTCAATATGGCCACCGTCACCACCCATCTTAAAAAGTTTGCCCCTCACATATACTAATGTGCCACAACCAGGACGTTAATATCACCAACCATTCCCATTTTATTAAGGTGTATCCATATAAATGGCCCACCCTGTAGAGCTCTAGGCTCAGGAAATTCTCAGAAGATAACATTATCCTAAATTATTCTTATTTGATGTATTTTTAAAAGGTAAACGATTTGTAATGATCGAACAGTGCAATGTTAACTGCAAAGTTCCTCTATTAAAAAAAAAGAAAGAAGAACCCCCTGCAAGTTCTGAAAGAGATGAAGCCTCAAGCAGGTATGGAAAAAGTAATGCAAAAGTAACTCAAAAGTAACATAATGCTTTACTTTCCATAAGTGCTGTTTAATAGAGAGGTTTTTTTTAAGGGGTGGTCCACTATGATATCATATTTTAAACTTTAGTTGATGTGTAATGTAGCTGTGTGAACATAAACAACATCTCTGAATGTAAAAAGCTCAAAGTTCAATTCAAAGGGAGACCTCGGTTTTTACAGAGTTAGCTTAGCAAAGCCTACAATGAACAAATTTTGGGGACAACAAAAAATACTTCCGCCCCCTGTGAGATCAAAGTTCGTTTACTGCGCATACAAACTGCGCAGGTAAGCGCCGTGGCCAGAGACGCTGTGATGTTATAGCAGAGATGAAGTTAAAAATGTTTTGAAAATGTCTACTGTTTCTGTATTTGGGCTTCCAAAGGACACGGCACAAAGACAGAAGTGCTTACAGTTTAATATTAATTATGTTCCAGAGAATTATAAAATACACAGCAAGCTTCCAGAATCTCTCCCAGTTCAGTGCTGGATTCGGCTAAAATCTCCTCAAAGCAGAAGCTGTGAGCTCGATCTGTAAGTGTTTTTATTTGTTAAAATATATGATGACATGTTCAGTGTCTAGCGTTAACGCTATGCTTTAGCAACGATGTAAACCAGGGGTGCTCAATCCTGCTCCTGGAGATCTACCTGGTCACCCCTGAGTAAACAATGGGAAATGCTGCTTTGCGGGCAAACGATTTAGCTACAAAATCATATTTATCAGTCAAACTGCTGTAAACACACACACACAAACCCACTCCACCAGCACGTTCGTGTCTCTTATGTTTATGCGCGCGTGACTGCATTGATTGGCTTCAGGCAGCTTTTCCATGCTTTTCACATCTCAGATAATGAAGTCGCAAAAGATATGTGGATGATTCATATTACTTACACCTGCTTATTCCGGATATATATGAAAGATGTTGTGTAATGGATAGAGTTAAAAAAAATACAGGTTAGCTTACCTGACTCGTGTAGCAGCAGAAAAATAAATCAAGGCTCACACAGGTAGCATCCCGCATCTTGTGCTTTATTCTTCTGTCACAATATATAAAAAAAATACTTTAATCCGATTCATAGAAAAAGAACAAAAACTCCCATGCACATGTGCTTGTTACAGAAAGTTCATACATTAGCCGCATTTCCACTGTTGGGCCAGTGCGAGCAAGGGCTTTAATCGGGCCGGGCCGGGCCAATCGCACGGGAGGTTGAGCAGTGAGGCCGAAATCATATCGCGTTTCCACTGTCGGGCTAGTAGCTCACAGCACGTCACGCAAACCCTGCCCCCAGAATGTCCCCCGAATCAAAACGTCACACAACCCGCCCACTTCAGCGGGAATCCGGCAGATAAAGCACACCATCACATCATCACAAAACCATTCAAATAAAAACATCCGAAACAAACAAATGACCCGTTACTGTTCAGCAGTACATGATATGTCTGTACGCACATGCCTGTGTGTTCACATTTATCATATTCATTTACTCGCCGACCGACTGTTGGCATCGAAATCGAGTGGTCTCGCCACTAACGGAGAGACCCAGCGCAGTGAGCACACCAATCCATAATATAAAACCACAGACAGTCTCCGTTAATAAAGACAGAAAAATGAAAAGAATAAAGAAAATGTATTTTATAACATTCTCGTTTAGATAGACGTCGTCAAACATTCAGCCCAAATGCTCTGGAAAGACCTGAAACATTATTTTTTTTCCCTATAGGCTATGACACTTAATAGGTGATTCGCTTTTATTTAAAATTATTTAAGGAAAGTGTTGTGTTTAAGCACATAAGAGCAAGTAATAAAATATAGCCCACGTTTCATTGCGCTCAGCAGCTATCCACTAATAAAGGTCTTCATGTATTTAAGAAAAATAGATATTCTAGTCTACAGAAAAAAAGGTCGCCTTTATACTTTCACTCACCCCAAAAATGCTCTGTTTGCATAATTTGATTATTATCATCGTATCCAAATACTTAATAAATAATATTTAAAACCTTCTCCGGTGTTTATTGGTTTTAGAAAATTTGTAAAATCTTTTTTTTTCAGAGAGGTCTTATAATATGCAAACAATTCAGGTATTTTATTCAATCTCGTTTAGAGATAATAACAATGCAGCGAGGTAGTCTTGTTTTGTTTTCTCATTATTAAAATTATTTACATACAGTGCATATACAGTATATGTATATGTATAGTGTATATATATAATAGTACATAAACACAGTTAAAGTCAGAATTATTAGCCCCCCTGAGTTATAAGACTGCTTGTTTATTATTTTCTCCAATTTCTGTTTAACGGAGAAATTTTTTTTCAACACATTTCTAAACATAATAGTTTTGATAACTCATTTCTAATAACTGATTTATTTTATCTGTGCCATGATGACAGTAAATAATATCTGACTATATATTTTTCAAGACACTTAGGACTATACAGTCTAAATTGACATTTAAAGGCTAAACTAGGCTAATTAAGTTAACTAGGCATGTTAGGGTAATTAGGCAAGTTATTGTAAATCAATGGTTTGTTCTGAAGACTATTGAGAAGAAAAATAGCTTAAAGGGGCTAATAATTTTGTCCCTAAAATGGTGTTTAAAAAATTAAAAACTGCTTTTATTCTAGCCTAAATTACACAAATAAGACTTTTTCCAGAAGAAAAAATATTATCAGACATACTGTGAAAATTTAAAAAGGGGCTAATAATTCTGACTTCAACTGTATACATACATACATACATAAGCCATAAATATCTTTCGTTTATCAAACTGTTTATTTGAAGACTTACTGATGCCCCCTGAATGTTCTGCAAGTTGCACAGGCCATCATCACTCAGTGACACTGATTACATCTCATATAAAAGGCACAGGTCATTCCCAATGACAGTCACAACACAACAGATTCCAAACAAAAGCTTTTATTGAACTCTAACAGATGCATGTGGCCATTTCATTTGGAATAAAACTTGTAACATTAAGTGTCCAGCACATATCAGTTGCTAGTGTAGTGGATTATCATAAGCGATCTGTCCAAGGGTGAAAAACAGCATAATATGATGTACCACACTTAAAACCTGTGTGCAATTTTTTAAAATGACATCCGTCATAGTGCAGAAACAGTAGTGGAACTATTGTACAATTTAGAAAACGAACAAAACTCAAAATGACAAACTACAAAAAGAGTATCAAAACCAAGTGTTCTACTCCTCCAACTCAGTTTCATGGTCTGTAATTTAACAGTGATTACATATAAAGCTTCCTAATGTGTTAAATTTCTCTGTATATATAAAAAAGTTCATTCCAGTGGCTTGCGGAGGTTTAAGACGGACTGTAAACAGGATATAAATAAAGGGTAGAAATCATCAATTTTGCACCTTACAAACAGCGTCCCTGCATTTAGTTACTATTTGGTATGAGAAATCTTCTGCATTGCATAGGGGGGAAATAATCACATACTGTAATACAGGAGGTTTTCAAACAATCACTGCATCCTTCTGTATATGAAAGTCTGAAAGTGAGACATTTCAGGGATCCACGCCTGATCAGTAAGAATAGCAGTAGCTCTCTTAATCGAAAACAGAACACATACGCCAATATAAATGCAAGAAAATAAATACGCAATAAATAAAGCAGTAAATTAACACTTAATCATAACATAATTAACAACAGTATCGTGTTCACTAACAAGTGATCAATCAATGATGCATATTCAATAAAGGAACTTATTATCTTAGCAGGATTTATTTCTGAGGCCAAAATGAGAGCTTTAAGCGAATAACATTAGTTTTTAATATTACGGTTTCTTCAAAATACACAGTTAAAGCTCATCAATTCATGTTTTTGCTTTCAGCCAGTGGAATGATAATAAACCCCTTATCTATTACTGTAAACAAAATATCTATGCTAGGATGGCGTACTAACATGCACACAGACACTCATACATGTGGTAAAATAATCATCAGTATGTGGATGAACTGGACTAAACATGACTGAAAATTCAATAATAATAATAATAATAATAATTTTTCATTTTACAAAAACAAGTTGCATTTAAGCACACCATAATTATTTTTTCCTAATAACATTGATTATGACACGTATAGCATTTTACTTATATAATATAATATAATATGTATAATAAAATACACCTGCTGTTATTTAAAAGTGATAGGGAGCAAATGAATTAGTGTGTCTTCGATATTTACTCTTTACTTTTATAAAAGAGTGAAACAGTACTTTACGGAAAATTCAAGTTTAAGATTGAATCAATCATGAGCCTTCATGCTGATGGTTTCCACACTAAAGTCTGATCGTAAAGCTGTAAATGTTTGTTTGGAAAAGAATCAAATATGTCTTGCCAAAGAGCTGAGGATATTTATGTGAATTTGGACCACACAATGTCATTCACCCGATTTCACATTGTAATTCATTAGACCCTAAATTGACTTGTAATCATTCAAAATCTAGTATAAAGATGCTGGCAGAAAAAGACAGGCTCTCCGCATCTCATCAGCTCATCCCTTACCAAAGTTTTCCATTGTTCAGTCTGCGTTTGCGGGTGATTCCGGTTAGCAAGCGCAGTCCTTGTGTGAGCGCTGCGGTTGCTCTGAGAGCTCGGGACCCAGCTTGTTTCCAGTCATGGATGGATCTGCTGACTCCAGGTTCTCTGACATTCTCTCACAGATTACATCCACCAGACGCTCAAATGTCTGCTTGACGTTTATATTGTCCTTGGCACTGGCTTCAAAAAACTCAAAGCCTGTAACAGTCGAGAAATAATAATCAGAAAAATTAGTTATGCGTAATAACATTGAAATGACACATGGAGATAATTACTACTCAAAGGTATTTTATACTTTCTATAAAAGAATTTTTGTATGTGGAATAGAGTCAAATGCATTGGTCAGGTGTTTTGTTCGAAAACTTCAACAAAGTCTTCAAATCTTCTTGGTTCTGTAAGTGTCTTCGATGAAATCTGATCTAACCATTCGGCAGCTTTATTTTCTTTTCTGAACCCAGTTGTGTTTCTTTAGCTGTGTTTGAAATCACTGTCTTGCTGAAATGTCCACCCTGGTTTTATCTTCAACATCTGATAATGTAGGTGTTGTGGCTAAGCTAATATTCATTTACTCTGACAAGGGGCAGAGGATTGCTGAATACCTCCTGAGAGATTTCATCTGCTGTCTGGGCATTCCATGTCATTTTACACTTTCTTTTTTACGCGTGTTCGAAACCTTTTTCCTTGTGTTGTTTAATTTATGTACGTATAACTTAATTTATAAACCAGGGGTCACCAACCCTGCTCCTGGAAAGCTACCTTCCTGCTGATTTCAGTTGCAACCCTGACCAAACACATGTAATTATCAAGTGCTGCTTCAGGTCCTAATTAATTGGTTTGGTTGTGTTTTATCATGGTCGGAGCTGAATTCTGCAGGAAGGTAGCTCTCCAAAAACAGGGTTGGTGACCCCTGATTTAAAAAAATTAGTTTTGTTTTCTTTGTATACATGGATTACTTTGGTAGTTACATATAATGTATCTTGTGAAAATTTCCAAGCCAACAGCACCTTTAAAAATATATTTCTGAGAAAAATTGTGATGCGTACAATACTTATTTTACCTGCCGTATGTTAATTGGATGCAAGGTTTTTTTAGTAAACAGAAACTAGGACTAAAATTCTTAGTAAAATGAAAAAATCTAAAGTCAACTAAAAACACTTATCAACATTCATATATTTACTGAAATAACTTAAAATTTTTTTTTAGCAAAAATAAACATAAACATGAAACGTTTCTGTCTTTTTATCATCTGCCAAAAATGTAAACTAGAGATGTTTAACTACATATAGTATCTTTAATGTAAAGATGTTTGTCTGAAATCTACATCATTTTTACTTTTGTAAGTGTACATTGCATTTGTGTGGTTTTTGGTTCAGTTCAAACTTATATTTTAATTTTATTACTAAGAGGTTTGTACAAGAGTTAATGTAAGCTGTGCAAACACTTAACTTTGTTTGCCACTGGACATTTTATGTGAAATATATAAAAACTAAATAGAAATGTGCTCATAAAATAAAAACTAGAATTAACAATACCATTAAGGAAGCAAACTAAAACTAAACTGAAATTTATAGCAAATTAAATAAGAAAAAAATCATTAACTTTCACTAATTTAATAATACTGAGACTGCACCCATTACAGTATTTCATCTCTGAAAACCTAATTGACAATGAAATATTTGACAAAGCTTGACAACATCAGATTAGCATTTAAACATTCTTGTTAGATGTAAAAGTAATCAGGAAAACTCACCTAGCTGTTCAGACAATTGTCTGCCTCTCTGTCCAGCAACAACTCTCTCATCTTCCATATCACACTTATTTCCCACCAGCAGCACTTGAGCGTTGTCCCATGAATACGTCTTAATCTGTGTGGACCTGAAAGCAATGAGGGACATTAAGATAAAGAATTTGAACTGCCTAAATACTACTTTAATTAAATGATATGCAGTTTTTGAAAGCGTGCATTGTAAATGGTGACATCTTTACAACCATGACTCTTTTGATTGCTTTCTCGGTTTAATTTAAAGGACTTGTCAAAAGTGAGGAGAACCTCAATACATGCTTATTGCATTTGTAATTGTGTGTGTGTTTTTTAACCTAAATTACATTGTTTCTGGATGAAATGATAATATATAACTAGTACACTGCTTACACAATGCATTTTTACAATGCATTTGACATGATGCAATTTATTTACATATGGGTAAAACATTGTTTGGTTAAATTTTTGTGACAGTGTGGTGGACAGTGATGACAAAACAAAGCTTTTCAAAGATTTGAATCAAATTAACCCATTACTTTGCAAAATGATTGACGGAGAATTCAACACAGCACAAAATAACGACAACTGCTAAACAAAAACATCTGTAAATGCTACAAAAATGATTGGATTAGTTATGACATAACAATACCACTTTTTAACATAAAAGATTCATAAGATTTGTTTTAAGGCTTCATTAGGCACCATTTTGAAAGTGGGCATCAATAGCGGCAGGTAGCCCTATCCACCCTGAAATCTCATTGGCTGAAAGTCTAGCTCCAGATAACATAAACATATCAGGGGTGTAAATGAACATGTATTTGTCCCAAAATTTGTATTTGTCCCACAATATGGGCGTTGCAGTTTGGTTCATATAACATGACTCTGACAATGTATATAGGCAATTCAGATGTGCCAGTCACCGGAGGAAGACAGAAAAGACCACAGCAGTGAAAGAAACAAAGAGCCATTTCTAACAGAATCCATCTTTGATTTTGAAACACGAGATGCAAATTTTAGGAACCAATGTGTGAACGATATCGCTATTCTGTTCCCTGGCTGCCAGTTTCTCCATAGCTGGCTAAGTGGAAACGTTACTTTTTGTTATTCAACAAAGTAAATATCTGGAAAAAGTAGTGCCAAAATTTTGTCATTTACGTTATAACTATGTTACGAAGGCAACAACTGCCACTGATATTGCATTCCAAAGAGTTACATTATCAGCAGCAATTGGAAAAAGAAACCATTTCTGTGCTGACTAGAAGGGATGGGTCTGAGTATTTGGGTCAATACCGGAAAAGTGGCTAGATAAGTAGTACTTGTATAAAAATTGAAATTCTTTATCTTGAAAAACTATATAAAAGGGCTGCTACAGATATTGGTCACACACGTCCATCAAGTGCATTTACATAGAAAAAACTATACAAATTTAAGACTCGTGTGCACATAAGCCAGTCTTTATACCTCATACACACACAAGCGATAGCAGTGATTGAACAGGAGATGTCCACTGCACTGGCTGCTGCATTAACAGCTGATAGACGGACCTGCACTGCTAACATTTTCATTTTAAGAGATTTCAGTTTTGTAGTTCATTGAATTTTACATTCGACACACTGTTAACGTTTTATTAAGTACTTCTTATCACAAAAAGCTTTTCAGTTCTGCAGCTGATTGTGACAAAACACGTCTGCCTGTTTAAAATAAACAAAAAAAGGCAAGCACTGGGTATTTGTTACTTATTTCTTGTACCAAACCCATATTTAACTGAGACACATACCAAATCGTGACTTCTGTGTACAGTTACACCCCAATATACAATAAAATGGATGAATCAACTAGGAAGAATCATTCACAGTGAGATCAATAGCATGCATTTTGAAAATAGGCAGTGAGTTTTAACTTCATGCCTACTTACAAATCACACGTGTTTGTGACTGTCATGTTGTACAGTATATCGGTTTGTGTGGAAAATCACACTGCACTTGGTTGCTGCAAATATATGCCATGTTCTCAGAAAAGGCTGGAGTTTAACAGAAACTAAGAAACGTTTTTCCAAAAGTCATTTTCCATGATTTACTGACAAAAATAGTCATTCCTACCAGTCCTGAACGGCATTAAAAGAATCCTCGTTGGTGATGTCATACATAAGAATGAAGCCCATTGCTCCGCGATAGTAAGCTGTGGTGATGGTCCTGTACCTCTCCTGCCCAGCAGTGTCCTGAAATACATAATAGTTTAATTAAAGATGTCTTGATGGTTCAAAAATACATACTTCCAAATCAAAATCAACACAGCATAGGTCAAACGCAAAACTCAAGTAAAAAGGAAAGCTGAAATGTGTCTTTACCCATATTTGGAGCTTTATCCTCTTGTCGTTCCTATAGATGGTCTTGACTTTGAAGTCTATGCCGACAGTGCTGACAAAAGCAGGTGTGAAGGAGTCATCAGCATAACGGAACAGGAAACTAGTTTTGCCAACACTGCTGTTACCAATGATCAGGACCTTAAACATGTAGTCAAAGTTCTGTTCTGCAGAGTCTTTTTGTCCATACCGAGCATCATTCGCTGAAGCCATCTGCAACAATGAAATAGATTAAAATTTGCTACAGAACATCTAAAACCATGATGTGCTCTAGGGTAAACATGCTTGTTAATAGTAATTTTGTTCATTTGAGATTTTAAATATGCCTAAAATTCAAAACAGCAGCAGGAATGTTTCCACTGCACTCACACAAATGAACAGAAGAATCTGCAGCAAAAGAAGTTATGTACAGTATCTTACATACGTGTATATATAGTACTTCTCAGTGCAGCTCACTTTTCAAAACTTTTCCTCTGCATATAGTGCCAAGTATTATAGCGGTTGAGGATTTAAGCAAACTGTACTATTACTAAATATATTTACTACAACAGAGGCCTAGATTTAAAGTCAGCAACATCCATTTTAAAAGTTCACGAAGTACCAAAACACTTTTTTTGAGGTGTTGACAGTCATGTATTTGTGTCCCACTTGCTAAAAACACTATTAGGACACATATATTTAGCTAACAGTGAGAATTAGTGTTGTTCAGAGCAAATCTGGTTCAAAAAGAAATTTTGAAGCTACATCACGGCGATGAGATCAATGTGTAAATTCCAGCGTGGAGATTGGCTGTCTGTACTGGCTGGTACAAAGTGACGTCATTAAGTTTTCAGCACATCTGTGCTTTAATTCTTGGAGTTGGTTCGAACCAATCAGCACGCTCCATTGTGAACGAGATGCAACTTTATTAACATACATGATAACAGCTTCAAAGACTGTTTTTACCTGTAACAGTGTTGTTCATAGAGATGCCACGTTGTGTTGCCAACCGTAATTCAAACAAATAGGAGAAGAATTGTTCTGAGAAATGGGTCGTCAGTGTTGCATTTTTAAATGTGACAACAAAGGTTTTGTTTCCATTTCCCCATGATGAGTGCACTGATCGCGCATGGACATGTGTGGATAACAGTGGTCTGCTAACACGTGACAAAAATATGTTAGTAGAGAACATTTTTTACCCAAGAGCTTTACGCAACTGGAAATGGTGAAATCCAGATTTGCCCCTCATCTCCATTTAAAAAAAGACGCAGTTTCAGTTTGTGTTGATTGTCCTGTCTCTACGGATTTGTAAGTGTGTAATCAATGATCTTTGTTTATGTTTATTCAAATGGCAACGTTTTTTTTTATAATTATTTTTTTAGGGTTTTTCCCCTTTATTTGGAATGGACAGTAGACGTTGCAGACAGGAAAGTATTAGGAGCAGAGAGAGGGAAAGGGTTGGCAAAGGACCTCGAGCCGGGAACCAAACTTGGGTCGCCGTGAGCACCATTGTGCTACATGCTGGCACACCTAACCACTAGGCTATTGGCGCCGACCAAACGGCAAAGTTAGTTAGTATCATCAAAAGTACTATTTCAGTTTTTAAAGACAGATCTTAGCCAAATTATTTAGTTGCTAAGTTTACAGTAATATCACTACAACATTATGGACTGAAAATTCTCCACTTCCACAGCTCTCAGGTCCTCTGTAAATGCCGCTCTCTGAATCACTGTCCATCTCCCTTGTTTCTGTGTTTGTGTTGCTGGTGTGAAAATCAGCTGTAGTGCACGTAATAAAAATCCCCTTTTCATGCAAACCCTTCCCTCTTTTGCCACTCCCACCTAAACAAAGTTGGACTCAGCCACTTTCCTGACTTTTTTCAAACTAGAGGTGTGAAAACACCCTGCTGAGACAGGGTTAAAGCTGGGTGATTTGACCTAAAATCAAAATCTTGATCATCTCGATTAACATTTTAACTCGATTACAATTAATGAACCATTATTTTATTTATTTATTTAATGTTTTTGCCCCCTACTGTTCAAGTTTTATACAGTAAATATGCTCATTTATTACAAGTGTGAGATTTTTTGAATAAATGGTGTGTTACTTGATTTTAAAATAATTAAAGGAAACACCCACACACTATTATCTATGATTCTTTATTGAACAGCAATGCTGAACAACTGAAATGAAAACAAACATTGTGTAAAACACGGCTCTCCGCACCGCCCACCCTCCCCACCGCTACCAAACCAACCAATCACAAAGCTTGCGCTACATGTCGTTGTGATGTGTAGTTACCTTTTTTTGAAAGGTGTACGGGTATGTGAAGGCTGCGCCTGACCCTACACATGTGCCTGGCAGAAGTATTAGATCAGAATAATATAATAAGCATAAATTAGGTAAATTAGGTTTTTGAAAAAATTGACCTTGAAAATTTTGATCGATTATAGGTTCTGAATTTCGATTACTCGCCCATTCCTAGACAGGGGTGTTTCATGACCCTTTAAATGACTGTTGCATCAAACTTTAAATAACTGTATTGTGAGCAGTAGACAAGGCGCAGGCATTCCTCTCACTGGTAGCAGAGTACTAGATCCAGTGAGAGCTGGATGGGGTGACCTAGAGTAATGTCACAAAAGAGAGAAAGGTAGAGGTGGTGTAACTATAATGATATGTCTATAATATGTCTATATGCCAGGCAGCATGGTGGCGCAGTGGGTAGCACAATTGCCTCACAGCAAGAAGGTGGTTTATGCCCCAGACAAGCTGGATAAGTTGGCGGTTCATTCCACTGTGGCAACACCTGATTAATAAAGGGACTAAGTCGAAAAGAAAAAGAATGAATTAATGCATGTATATATGCCTGCTTTAAGCAGTACTTACCAGCAGTGGAAAAGTAGCTATTGTTAGTAGCTAACAGTCTGCTGGAGGGTTCTGATTGGTACACTCGACGTGACACGACAGTGCATACATCAAACATGTGCTTCATTTATTCATTTCCCTTTAGCTTAGTCCCTTGTTCATCAGGGGTATGAACCGCCAAATATTCGGGCCTATGTTTTTACGCAGTGGAGCTGCAACCCAGCACTGGGAAAAGACTTATGCTGTAGAATATTTAATGCTAAAGGGAAGACCAGATGTTGACAGTGTAAGTGTATTTCACAGTGGAAAATATTTGTAATTACAGCATTTTTGCAATGTGTATTTGGTTTAAGACCTAGGTTTCCCTGCTTTTAAGGTTTAAAAATAAAGTGAGTTGTTCACTCTGTATATGTTTGCAGTTTGCCTTCTAATAATGTGAACAAAATTCATATCATGATTTGTGTTATTGTATGACAGCAGAGAGATCGCAAATGTGCTGAGGGTTAATAAGAAAAACAGTAATAAACTGAGAAGATTTTCATCATTTCGACAACACACAAATCTATATATTAACTTGATTACATTCCTCTGTTCTCGCATCTTTTCTTTCCTAAAGGTGTGAAGCTAAGATGTGAGGAAAGGAAGCAAGGATAGGATAGTAGGATGCACAAATTAGAATTGAGAAGCACCCACTATTTCTAAACAGGAAGCAGCCACTTTTTGAGGTCCCCGACACATTTCTGATATGTATTTCTGCATTTGCATGTGTTGTGTCAATTTGCATGCAACGTGTTGCCAAATTGATGATGTTTTCTCCATTTATTACTGTTAACTACTGCCCTATAAAACAGTCATTGGTTTTCAAGTCTCGTTGGTGTCACCTAAAATTTTCATGAAGGGAGAGGAAGACACAATTTTAATTTTTTTAATGAAGTAAACCTTAAAGTCTCTCAAGTACGCTTTAGACATTTACCATGAAACCAATTAGAGAGAACAACTGACATTGAACAATTAAAATTGAACTATTAATTTACTGTACACTTCTGATACAAACAGACAACGGAAACAGTTCATAATACTGCGCTGAAACCAATATTCCCTTAATCACGGCCTATTAGCTGAATTGCAACACATTCAAACAGAATAGAGGGTGTAACCTGCACTATCACCGTATGCTTCAGGATTGAGCTCGGCGGTCAGTATGGCCAGGGATTTTAAAGGTTTTGTGAAGCTAAACCCTGTGCTTAGCTGTCTGTCAGGAACTGAACACACAAACCCTTTAAGAGGAAGATTATTCCAATATTCCAATTTCAGAGAAGACCTGAGGATTTCCTTCACATATACAGACAAACCCTGGTCTGAGTGTTCATTTCTGCTGTATTTTAAGTCTGTTATTAGTCTGTCCACCTGAGCACACACGTATTACGGCTTAATGCAAACATATGGCTCAGGCTTGAAGTACAAGATTAGAGCAAGAAAGCGTCGCGCATAAGAAGAGCTGTTAACGTTTATGCACTGACTGTCCAATTGAAAGACCTTGAACTAAACGGCAGCCTGTAAAAGCGAGACTGGCATGACTGATACTGGTTAAGTCAGTATATCTCTGGTTAGCATCTATCCGCTTGACACACACGGATGATTTCCATTTCCACTCGGGCCAGTGAGTCACGTTAACACCACACTAGTCAAACTGATAACACGTATGTGTCGACGAGAGAGTCAAAACCCAGCTGACGAGCTAGTTAGCAAACAGCGATGGATTATGCAGGAGAGGCTGTTTATGAACCATTCCAGTTAACGTTAGCGATGTCAAATGAAGGTTACGCTGTTTATAAATTAAGCCCGCGGATTTCCTGCTGCTTTTATGCTAACATTACGTCTAGATAATTTCGATATGCGCGTTGATTAAAGTGGACTGATGTAGGCAGAGAAGCTCTGGCTTACCGTAACGGCAGGTTTATTTGCTGTGGTTTGGATGCAGTTTCCAGCCTGTGCACCTGCGCTCCTCCTGCATTCGTCACTCGACGGGAGTCAGCGGAGGGCGGAGCTAAACAATGACGGAAGTGTGTATGAGCCAATCACACACACGCCTGGTCACCTTAGTGACTTAGCGGTCTAACGTTACTGGATATGAGGAAGAACAGAGCATATTGGAGAGAATAGTGGTCAGTTTTAGTTGAATTTAAGACCATTTAAAATTACAGTTTCCACCATTTCAATTTTATAATGTCATATTATTATATATATGAAGCTGGATTAGGGTGACGCAGTGGTTAGCACTGTCGCCTCACAGCAAGAAGGTCGCTGGTTCGAGCCTCGGCTGGGTCAGTTGACATTTCTGTGTGGAGCCTGCATGTTCTCCCTGTGTTTGCGTGGGTTTTCTCCGGGTGCTCTGGTTTCCCCCACAGTCTAAACACATGCGCTATAGGTGTATATTTATGTTATCTATTATTTTAAATACACAGATCAAAGTGAAATATTTCTCAGTATTAAAGAACTGACCCAACCCCCCTATCTTGTTTTGACATCTTTCATGGGGGATTAAGCGTAAATTTGGGGGGTCAATCCCCCAAACCCCCCTGTAATTCACACCTTGATAACGAGGAATTATGAAAAAACAAACAAAAAACATTGATTTATGACAGTCAACACTATGAAGTCATTTTTAATAAAAATATCAATTATGATTTTGACTCAGTATGACACTTAATTATAAATTAACTAATTCTGATAGGTGAAATGATGAAATTATAGAAATGTTTAGGTATGAAAGTTACTTCAGATTATGTATTATTTTTATTCTGAAATCATTAGAAAATCAGTAAGAATGGACCATTTTTTAAAATAATAATGTTTTAAATTATGAAAACGGTTAGACTTCTTAGAACATCTGTATTATAAAATGCCCAGTCTTAATTATGAAAAATTATTTTTATAGAATAAAATTACAACTGTGACATTAAAAAATTCATATTGTGATGACAAGTAAAAATAATAACATAACATAATAAAAAATCATGAGAGAAAGTCATTTAAAAGAGCAATTTATTACTAAATAAATATAACATTGGTCATAATTTTGATTCACGCCAAATGAATTTAGATAATTTAGTATAACAATTTAATGTCATAATGTTGTTATAATTACATCACTCACTGTATTAGCGTTAACCATGAGAACATGTTCATACAGTATAACATTTAAAAAGCTATACAGTATTACCTGACTATCAAGCATTACCCATAAATAATTATCCTTTTTTCTCTCTAATATTTGTATATAAATATGTCTCTTGTCCAAAATTTTGACAAGCCGAAGCTCAGATATTTTTCCTATGTAAGGTAATCAAGATTACATCTGCTTAATAATAACCGAGTCCGTCTTACTAATATTTCTTTGTTTATTGGCATTGGGAAGAGGAAAACAATCACAGCAACATTAGTAACAGTTGTAGTGGTAAACAGTACTGTTGGGATTGTCAAATCTGCGACAGAAAGAGACCAAACAGAGGTGTGTGCCGTGACCAAAACTCTGCACGGCCACTCAATATTTCTTTCACCACACGAAACGCTGCTGTGAAGAGCACAGACTGACATGAAGATGAACATTTAAAGCCCCGTTGACTGTGATCCAATTACATACAAAGACTCACTGTATCCAATATTAAAGTTCATACCATGGTGTATAAAAAAGGACACAAATAATCTGACCTGCGATGCGTCAGAAAGACTTGAACAATCTTAAATAAAACGCTGAATAAAGAAAGATAGAAATGATCAACTCAGTATGTTAGCGACAGTAGTAGATGTCATATTGATGGAAATTAGCCAGTGGCAAAATGGAAATTACAGTACAGCATGGATCATGCTTTGCTTGGCACTTGTACTGTCATTGGCAATGTCCCTGTGAAGAGCAGAGCACGGATCAATCGCCAAAAACCGAAGAACACAAAAACTCTGGCACGACAATGGACTTTGGCTTTGTGTGTGTTCGACAGCTAGCGTACAGCTTTGCTTTCCTTCAGAACAAACCCTGTTCACTTTCCTTCATACATTTCCATCATACATTTGTAAAGATGTTAATATACAGTTGAAGTCAGAATTACAAACCCCCCTGAATTATCAGACCGCTTGTTTATTTTTTCCCCAATTTCTGTTGAATGGAAAGATTTTTTTCAACACATTTCTAATCATAATCGTTTTAATAACTCATATCTAATAACTGATTATTTTTTCTTTTCCATGATGACAGTAAATAATATTTGACTAGATATTTTTTAAGACACTTCTATACAGCTTAAAGTGACATTTAAAGGCTTAACTAGGTTAATTAGGTTAACTAGGCAGGTTAGTGTAATTATGCAAGTTATTGTATATTAATGGTTTGTTCTGTAGACTATTGAGAAAAAAATAGCTTAAAGAAGCTAATAATTTTGTCCCTCAAATGGTGTTTAAAAAGTAATTACTGCTTTTATTTTAGCCGAAATAAAACAAATAAGACTTTCTCCAGAAGAAAAAATATTATCAGACATACTGTGAAAATGTCCTTGCTCTGTGAAACATCATTTGGAAAATATAAAAATAAGAAGAAAAAAATTCAAAGGGGGCTAATATTTCTGACTTCAACTGTACCTCTTATTTTCAGTGTGACCAGCACAGAAACAGAGAAAGTACACATGTGGTTTAAGGACACAGATCACTTTCTGGACAGCTAATGTGCACTGTAAAAAAAAAAAATCAACAACAACAATCCATTAAGGAGAGACACTGGAGGCAAAAACACTGTCAATTGTGAGATTCTTGAGATGTTTTTGTCAGTCTAATGCAAATAAATAATCCAAATAAGCTGTTTAATTGTAATTGTTGCACTTGATAAATTTGTGTCTGCAGATTTCACTTGAAATTGTAAAGGACGTTTGCTCAAAATATGATAGATTATTTAAATAAATATCCACTTTAGCAGCACTAACAAACTTCACAGTTTTATTCATATCTATACTCTGAAGGGTTTATACAGAGTGATATGTTCACACATAATTGTAGTGTTTATTTGAACATTTACGAGCTGTCATTGTGTGATAAAAAGAATTCCTAACAAAAATCCTCCCTGTAAAAAACATCTAACATGGTTATAGGCTCAAAAAATGTAAAGCTAGTTCATCAAAACACAGACTTTTGGACAATAAGTTTATGCAAATTATCAAATATTTAATAAAAATAATGCCTTATTGCATATTCAAACATACGATTTTAAAAACTTGAAAAATAGCAATAGGAAAGTATGATGCTATATATATTAGTTACGTTTTGACCCTCTTCACCTCCAGTGTCTTGCCAGTTTGTCACTTAACAGTTGTATTTTGTGCTTCATGGGTGTTTTCTGTTTATTGACACTTATGAATTGCATTACAGGACCTTGATATTAACTATGGATGTTGGAAAGTTTAACAAAGTGGCTTTTATTGAAATGTTTATACATTTTTTATTATTTAGCATTTCATTTTTGGGCAGCATGGTGGCGCAGTGGGTAGCGCTGTGCAGATAAATATCAAATTCGATATAAACGGCCCTGGAAGTAAGTACCCAGCAAACATTTTTTGTTTTTGAAATATGTCTAATAGACGTCTAAACATAGTCGTATTAGCTAAAACAAGGATACATTTGGGCTGTCAATGAAAATCTAATAGATGTAAACAGATGTAAACAAATAAACAGAAATGAATGACTACACATATAAAGGCTGCCTAATCTGTCGATTTGATGACTAGTCTAGTTTTGGGCTATGCTTAGATGTCTATTAGATTTTCAATGACAGCCCAAGTTTAGCCTTGTTTTAGCCAAGCTGTCTACGTTTAGATGTCAATTAGACGTCTATTAAACACAATTATTTGCTGGGTTCTTCCTTTTAAATTTTTATGCAATATATTGTTTCAAAATTTAAACTTTACTGTTACATTTGTGGAGTTTCAGTAGACATTACTGTCCCATAATGCACTCTGAAGTGTAAATAACTGAAAACCACCCACAAATCCCAAAATACAGGACTGTTAATTAACTGATATTTATTTACAGTGTGGGTTTCCAATCCAGCCCAGCTTTCCAGAGACCAATTTAAAGGGCACATTCGCACGCTGCCAAAACTAGTCTACCACATGTTAATATTGACTCCAGCCCTTACTGATGGAGCAGCGTGTTTGTTTGGCAATGACAAAAACGTCCTCTAAAGTGCTACCTGGTCAATCAGAAGCAAGCTGTGACATACTAATGCTCAAGCTCTGAGAAAATAAACAAATAAACGAGAAGCATATGTAAACCATGTGGACGCCAGCAGCATTCCTAGAAATTAAGGTGAGGAGGGAATCAAGTTCAAATTATAACAGCCAAACGAGTGCAAAGGAACAACAAAACAAAGCCACACGGTGGTATAAATCCTATAAATGTGGCTGCGGTTCCACTATTAAGCACTAGGTGGCGCCACATACAAGTACAAAAAAGATCACAATCATGGCTCGACTTCAGTCTACAGATTTTAAGAGCGATCCAAGGAAGACGGCGGTCTCTATGTGGGTACCCTCGAGCTGTTTGCTACATGAAAGCAATCGTCTGTTTGAATCCTGAGATGTTCTGTTGTGTTAAGGTCAGGCTGTTTTTTTGTTCAGCTAATAATAGACCAGCTTTAAGTCAACAGTGTCTTTAAAAAAAACAAAAAAACATTTTAGTGCACTTTCGTCTCACGTAAAAAGTGTCTTGTTTATCAATCAATATGTTCAGAGTCGGCTCTCGAAAGTCCACTTGTTCATTAATTGAAACCCTGGTACGTCACAGGAAGACACTCGAGTACATTTGAATGTTTTACAAATCCCGAAGTCATAAAAACAGCTTCAGCACTCCAGTGCAAGGTGACTACGGTATAAAAATGTCCCGCTGAAGCCTTTTTACCTCTCCTGCACTGCGTCACCTCCACCCAAGGAAGCTGAAAATGGGATGGAGTGGGACTGGGAGGTGGTGAGGAAGAGGTACGAAAAAAGCAAATAAGAAAAAATACTAAAAAAAAAAAAAAGTGCACGAGTGTTATGTTCCCAAACGCAGGCACGACACGCTTTTCCCTTCTTGGTCAAGTTCTTTGTCTTCATCTTCGCTGTCTGGTGGCTCGCCCATCTTAAAAGACATTGTCCTGCAGCCGGGGGAGCGAGCGGACAGCAAGCGGGCAGCTGGAGATGTTTGTTTGCCTTGGGGATCTGTCCTGGAGGAGTCCCGTGTGCTGGAAGTCAAGTCTTCATCCACGGGACTCTCCACGTCAGACTCACCTTCCTCTTCCAAGGTCAGTTCAAACTGGAATTTATCCCCCGCTGAAGCGATGCCACCTCCCATAGCCCCCATCCCCATCACAGCGCTCTTGTCCTCTGGGGTGGAGGTGGGACTGTGAGGGATCATGCTTTGGTACCACTCTCGATTGTCCTCCAGCGTGTCCAGGATCTCCTGGGCATCAGGGTGAACCAGGTCCGCCCAGGTCTCCCACAGCGGGTGCACGATGTAGTCGATGAAGCCCACCTGATGAACAAGGCAAGAGGAGTTTAGTTGTATTTTTTCAGAGAAATCAGAAATCTACCCTCCTGCAACGTTCAGCTCCAACCCCCAAAACAATTAAGTAGGACCTGAAGGAGCACTTGGTAATTAAAGGGTGTTTGATCAAAGCTGCAGCTGAACTCTGCAGGAACAGGATTGGGCACCCCTGATTTAGAGGATACCCACTAAATAATAATATACTATTATAGCATCCTATTCTATGTCAGTATTCATTTTTATATGATCAGTTTAACATTTTAATTTGGTTAAGTTTAATTTGGTTTTGTAATTTATTTTGTTTTTATTTTAGATTTATTTAGTTGCTAAAGCAACATTTTTATCATCCTTTTTTTGTAATATATTTAATTTTATATATTAGAATTACTTATTCACTTTCCTTTGAATTTGTCCCTGATTTATCAGGTGTTGCCACAGCGCAGTGAACCACCATTTACTCTGGTATTTCATTTTATGTGGTGGATACTCTTCCAGCTATTATATTATATTATATTATATTCTTAATAAATTAATAAATTAAATAAATTCTATCTTGGGTCCATGCAGGTTCCAATAGGTCTTCTGCAGTACTTGAGATGATTATGATGCAGTTCAACAGATGATTCATTTGAAATATCTACCGTGTGCCACTTTTCCAAATGATCAACTAGAAGTTATTATTTATTGCTCTAACAACTAGGATGACTATGAGTTTTGTCAGGTAGTGTACATTATATTATATTATATTATATTATATTATATTATATTATATTATATTATATTATATTATATTATATTATATTATATTATATTATGTTATATAAGACTTTACAAGTCCTTAAGCACTGTTTGCAGCACATGATTTATCATTCCCTCTCACTCACCTGTGATTTCTCAATAGAGGCATTGTGTTTGTCACACATGGGGCTGATCTCCATCCCCTTATCTCTCTCTCGGTCGCCCTGAGTGAAAAACTCCACCATGATGCGATCTGTCCACTGACGGTAAAGCTCCAGCGGCTTCGTTGGGTTGCTCAGGTCAGCGCAGTGCACCATGTTCTGAAGAACCTAAACATTTAAAATACTCAAACCTTAAGCATTAATCTATAAAAAGAAAACGCACAACTATATAAAACAGAAGCTCAAACACACCTGTATGCGATCTGAATAGTTGTCTAGCAGTAGTACACCCAGGCTGGTCACCTTCTTTGTCTCCACCATAGTCTTGAGATCCGCTAATAAGTTCATATGCTTTGACATATCAGTGGCCAAGACCTGTGAAGAGTCAAACACTCAGTAAATGATACAGTAGTAGTTCTCAGAAAGCTTTTAACTAGAATTGTCATTGCTTCCATTTGCTCACCATGTCAATGACCATCTTGCGCAGCGACTGCCTCTGTTTCTTGGTCAGGTTCTGGAAAATGTCACAGTTTTCTTCCTGCAGCAGCTTGAAGCCAACAGCCAGGTGGTGGTTCTCCAGAACAGAGGAATCGTTGTACATTAGTGCCAGCTCTGAGTCTGAGGAGAAGTATTATGCTCTTAGTAAACCATACAGTGTGCAATCATAATCACAAGTAGAGCTGAAACATATGGCTATAAAATCTTCAAAAAAAAAAAAAAAAAAAAAAACATTTGATCAATTCACAATAACAATTTCTTTTTTTTTTTCAGTATTCCACCAGTCAAAAAAAAAAAAAAAAAAAAAAAAAAAAAACGCCCTATCTAACATGACTCAAGTAACAATTTCGTTATTAACGAGTCCCTGTTTATGGGTTTTGAAAATTAAAAGTGAATGAAAACATCCAGCTTAACCTTTGGTTTTGGGGTTTAAATATGAAAGTCTCTCTTTCTCTCTCTCAAAAAAGTAATCTTTAGCTGTTTCGTTGGGATGTAAAACCAGGGTTCCTGCTGGTTTCATAAAGTCAAATTTAGACTTTTTAAGACCATAAAGAGTTAAATTTCAGACTTATATAGGGCTGAAGAATTTTAAGGGCCCATAAGGAAAGAAATGTACATTGCCTATTAAAAAACTAACTCTAATGAATTATTTTTTTGCAACATAACTATTAAACATAATTAACAACATAATAAAATCTTTAAAAACATAACGTATGAACAACAGACTGTGTGTGGGATTGATTTTGTAGCTTTACATAAACAAAGGAAAATTAAGACCCATTTAAAATGATTTTAGCACTACCAAACAAGATTTTAGTTATTTAAAGACTTTTTAATTTTGTAACTATTTGACTATTTAAAACCTCATGTATACCCTGAAAGTACTGCCTTGTCTACTTATTGTGCACAGAGACCCAGGAGTGTGAGTAAATGATGAGGAACTGTACACTTTGGGTGAACTGTCTCTATAACTAACATCACTGGTGTATTAAAAACTTATGCTAACATTTTTATTAAAAACTGCAATTTTGTAAATTAAAGTCATCCCAAAATCTAAATTCAAATGAAACTCAACAATTTGAAATCCACCCAGCTGTAATGAAAATCTGTAGTTTCACTCACTTGTGTTAATGAGGAATTGGTTGGACACTCCAGGATGGTCCACGTCATGAATGGCACTGGCAAACATTGCAGCCAAGATCTCAAGGTCAGTGAATACAGCCTAGCAAAACACAAGTGCACACGTGAAACCTCTTGCTTCTTCAGAGATGATGATCAAAAGGCAGCTGACTGAGACGAACCTCAAGGGCAGGAGTGGACAGCAGGACATGGGTGGACTGGACCACATCAGCTGCATGGATGCTGTTATGGTAAGCTACATCTGAGCGGTAGTTTTCCTCCAGAGCCGTCATGTAGTTAATGAATGTGTCTACAGGAATTTTGAAGGATTTCAACAAGTCTCTTTCCTGTGGATTACAAGACATTTGGTATTGTAAATATTTTTTTTTTTATGCCGAATGATACTGTGCAGGAATTATGGGAGACGGTTCCGTTAAACTTTAAACAAAGAGTGAAGTGTATAATCAGTAATGTATGTAATCAGCGTAATTCTTTATATATTTTATATTAACCCTTTCACATTTAAGTTCCAAATTTCTCTCGCTGAGATCTCCATATTTTATCCCAATGTTTTATGTGACTGCTGATTTAGAAAGCGTCACTTTATAGTTTCCATGCCACACAAAAATCTAAGATAAATCAAAGGTAAATATTACGCTATTTGATGAAGATTCTTTTGATGATATACAGCTTTTTGTTGCTACTGATCTGGAAGCATGTAAAAATACCACATTTAATAATGTTTTTACTCCAAACTCGCTTCAAAATTTCAGTCGAGTGTCTGACATAAATCCTTCTCATGAGATGATTCTGTAGTTGTGTGATTATTTGTCACATTTATCAATAATAGCATTTAAATGCTGTTTTATTTTCTGGGTCTCTTTATTGCAGCTTATTTGCAGTTTCTGCACGAGAGCGCCCTTTGGCCTTCGGAGATTTACTACTGATCACAGAACTGTGCTTTTCTGACATGTTGTGCATAATATTTACAGCCTTTGATAAGTTGCGATTTCAATTTCAATTCTATTTATTGTGCAACCCTAGTCATCACATGCAGAAAAAAGTTCAGTGTTTTGTACCTGAAAGGTTGTGTACATTGCCACCGTTAGCGGTCTGTTGCCAGAACACTCGGATATCTTGAACATATCCACACCCCATCTGTCAAAGTCTTCTAACTCCTGTGAAAGAGAGTTGGATGCCATTTTTAAAACATGCTGAATTTGATTATAACTGCTGCTGATGAGGTCCACGCTCATGGTGATTTTGATGCTCACTTTAGCCAGTAGATCCTCCCGGTTGGTGCTGACGCCAAAACGAGGGATGCTGGAGGGAGCGATGTTGGAGCTGTGTGTGGGCTTCTTCACGCCACTGATCTGAGACATGGGCCGCTTCTTCTTCTCCTTCTCCTTGCTTGGGGTGGACATAATATCCATGTCATGTTGCTTCTCTGCAACACAAATTCATTTTTATCACTGCATGTAATGACACACAACGATTCGCTACACAAATCAATGAGACACTGATCAAATCTAAAGCAAACTTGTGATATTGACCGTGTCAATTGCATATTTTTAACCTCTACTAAAGCACAAAATGCTCTTCATTTTTAAAAGTTCATGAAAGGCCCCTCTTTTAGTTCAAGTCTATCTCATTATTTAAAAAAAAATGCTACATGAAGGGCATGAACTGCTGTGAGCAGAGGTAGTAGTGGGTGTCAAAAAATACTTATGGATTTCTTGAACCTTTAAATTCTCATCTGGAAGTTTTTTAATACATGCTGGACATGGATTTAAGAAACTGATGCCAGCCTGAAAGAATCCTGCTAAAAGCAGTGTTGTTATAGTAACAATAGGGGCTCATTTGTTAAGTTAGGGAAAATGTACATCCAGCCAGTTGTTCTTGAAGAGTAAAGCTCAACAGGCGTATCAGCAACTGTTGTATTAAACTGAATGGCTTTATTCTGCAAAATCAGCTGGCTAGATGTACATTATCCCACTTACTACACAGCTACTTGCCACAAAACTAAACAATTAAGACACAAAACATTGATCTGAGCTGTAATAATGTACTCTTTGATTAAATTCTCTTTAATTAAATGTACATCTTGCAGAAAAAATGGTTGAATGCAGTCTACACTAAACCATCTATTATTCATATTAAGTTGCAAGATGCATAAACAGTCATGAACTGACAGAAATAAGCATATACTGTATAAATATAAATATATTCACTAATAATTAAGATGCTCTCACAGATTAATGTGTTATTAGTTTAACATACCTAGAATGTCATGACTGACCAATCAATAGTATACAAATAATATTTTTATAACACTGCTTTACCCCCACAAGTCATAATATGTTGTGTTGTTCTAATCAGAATTGAAAACATTTGCATTAAACTAAAAAAAAAGACAAGTTGGTTTTACCCAAGAATGTGCTGGAGATGTACTCTGAGACCTGGTTTCCTGACTTGCTAGTCTCTGAGAGCTGGGTTAATTCTCGATTCAGCATCCTTTTAAACTGCAGAACAAGAAAACACACACGCTTTGAGAATAAGCATCTCCGATCCCCTCTATGTTTTGCTTATAACACATTAATCCATTTATTTCTGCACAGTACACATTAAATTCGTATTCCACAAATGAGTGCTGAATTAAAGGGACGGTTCACTCAAAAATGCTAATTCTGTCATTGTTTTTACTACTTTAGATGTTAATGGTAAACGGTTTACAACATTTTTCAAAATATTGCACACTTTTCAGTTCAAAAGAAAAAAAATTCAACAGGAACAAGTGGAGGGTGAGTAAATGATGACACATTTAATTTCTCGGAAAGCTATCCCTTTCAAACTCAAAAGCTAAAACATCACACATTAAGCTTAAATCTATTTATGAATTAACATCATGTCAGTAACAAGTAACAATGGCTTTATCCATAACAAAAACAGGCCAATTTTAACATGCAAACAATATTATTTCAATTAAATATTTACAATAATTACCCATTTTTGTCTTGAAGTTAGTCATTATAATAAAATATAATAACATTTTACTTTGTTCCTGTTTTTACTGTACTATTGATCAAAATAATCTTTGGTGAAGATAAGTGACTTATGTGACTGAAAAATTAGCTTTAAAAATCATTAAACATTTGAATAGTAACATCTCACTCATCTTCATTATTATTAGCTAAGATTATTTAATTATGGAAAGTGCACATACAATATTTGAAAAAAAAAAAAAAACTAATAGTACTTTAGGAGAAACCTTTCCAAAAAATGTCTATTAATATATTTTCTGAATAAAAAGCCTGGGATGGACAATCTATTATAATTAGTTTTATACCCAAGACATTAATAAATAAACTGGTCAGCCTCAGCTGTATGCTGTATAGCTCAAAATATGAATGCAGCTCAATTCAGCCCTTCATTCAGGCATCCAAGATTGTGGGCTGTACCAAGCAGGAGGAGTTGCCTCTCATCAGTGTTGTGCTATTATGTAATCATACACGAGGTTTCACAATGAAACACTTCCGATTCAGAAAGCGTGATGTACAGTAAACACACACTGACAGACTGATGTCCTCTAGTTATCATTTTTGCTAGTGTTTTTATTCATTTAACCTTTATAGCTCACTTACTGTATGTATTTTTATATTGCATTTTAAATTAGATGTGCATTATCATTCATCAGTTATTTTATTTAAAGAAAATAAAATCATATTATATTGTTGGATTTTTTAAATGTTTTTTTTTTAAACTTTCAATTAATCAAAGATAAAAAATAATAATAAAAATAAATAAATTATATATGTATAAAAATGCTAATACATATGTTTATACTGTATGTATTATATTTATTTGCAAATAATAATTATTAATATTTAAAAATCGATATAACTAATATAATTAATCTCTAAATAATAAATAAATATATAATAATCTGTATAATAATTAGCAAAGACATTTAATATAGCAATAATTCACAATAAGTGATCTTTTGGATTTTCTATGGATATGAAGCATGGATATCTTGAAAAAGCATCATAATCTCCACAAAAAGCAGCAAGAAGCTCTGTTTCCAACATTTACAATAATCAGAAATCCTCACACCAACATGCTGCAACATCCTTGATTTATAGTGTCACTCCCCATCTAATCACATCCCATCCAACTTCACATACAAAACCAATGCAGTAGCAAAGCAAATAAACCCCCAAGCCTTACCTGAACATACATCCATGACAGAGAGAGCAAATAACTGACGTCGGGCATTTCAGCAGCAAATGAAACCTGCTCGAAACAGAAGCTCCCTCTGACCGGTGCACATGCAACAGACACGTTCAGCACTCTGGTCCAGGTTGCATGAGCTTCCCACTTCCACAGCAGCCTGACTGTGCAAACCGCAAATGCCATGGGCTGCAGTTGTTTTGGGCTGTGAGCGAGGAGCGAGTCTGCATCTCTGCATGATCCGCATGCTCCGCTCTGCTACTCTGCCTGATTCATGTGTAAACACTGAGATCAGGCTCCACCCTGTAGGCGTGAGTTCATTCTCACCGGCCAATTGGAAGAGTTCAGAAGCTGAGGCTGGGTCTGGGGAAGGTGTCTGATTGGCTGTCGGCATCACAGCACATGCAGGGGCCCGATGGGTGGATCTAAGGGGCTGGGGCTGCACCATGTGCACTTGGTTTGAAGATGAAAAAGCTTCAGGAGCCGTTTCATGCAGTGCGTGGCGTGCGTGCATGTGTGGATGGATGTGTTTTCCATTGAAATGAGGAGTGAAATAAATAGATGCTCGATGCTCACCATGAGCAGAGAAAATGTGTACGTGTGAGGTGTCAAAAATCTATTTAAACGCTTTATGGCAAATTAATGGCATGATCTTTTCCTAATTTCGCTTGGGTATTACATGTCTTCTTGTCAAATATTTCCAATTAACACACATGATAACTCATACAGGTATTATTTAGACTGTATACTGAATTATATTCAGTTTGAGGTCAGTAATATTTTCTGAAGGAAATCTATTCTTCTAGGTTTCTATTCTCCCCAAACACACTATGAGGGAAAAGGATGTGCCCGTTTGTTGAAGTTATATTTGATTGTCAAGAGTTCATAGTTAGATAATGCTTGACCATGTTAGCAGGTTTGCCATGCTGTCCTAGGAAAGAACCCTGAGCTTAGAGACAGATGAGCCCAAGGCTCACGCCTTGTCAATGAGTATTAAGAGGGATACGTCATTATGTAGTTCTCGAGAGCTACCCCGATTTGTTTGGCCTATACCTTAATTAATAAGACAGCTCTATAGGAATAGATCGCCAACCCCACCTGTGCATTCACATTAAGTCCTTGTCATGTCTTTAAACTGTGGGAGGAAACTGGAGTACCTGGGGAAAACCCACACGAACACGGGGAAAACATGTAAACTCTGCACAAAAATGCCGACTGGCTCAGCCCGGACAGTGACCTTCTTGCTATGAGGCAGCAGTGCTAGCCACTGAGCCGCCGTGTCGCCCGATCCTAGATTTGAGGAAGAGGTAGAAATAATGGATTTTGGGGGTGGGGTCTTCCTAAACGAAGATAGAATAAAATTTAAGCGGGATATTTATGTTAAATTTGGAATAATCAGGAATAAATTTGGAATTATATTTCACATAATCAAACATTTGAATGCGAGCATTTCATTGTTCTCAGATTGTTTAAGTATAACTAAGTGCATAAACAATATTCGATTATTTATATCATATACATTTTTTTTATCGACAATAAGTGTTAAGTATTCTATAGAAATGTCTACTTTTAAATGTTTTTTTAATGATGTATATAAACAACACTGCAAATGTGACGACAAAAAATGTTCAATTAATATGACGGTCTATCAAATGCAATACTGCAATACAACACGATACTAAATGCATGCACTATTCTATATGAATATATTTCACCTCAGCCAAAGTAGGGTAATGGCTTATCATGCAGCAACTACACCGACACTGAAAACACACCAGCATGTGCTCATGTATGCGCATGAGTGTGCGTGTGTGTGTCCGCGCTGCACGTGGTTGCCGTGTGGCTGAGCGAAATCACACGTCACACAGGCTATGGAATCCCAGCAGGAATGAAGAGAGAGAGAAATTCATCCATGACTCTCCTCTCATTCACATTTTACAGCACACGGTCGGGGGATGGGAGCCATTCACAACATGCATGAATCCCAATCCAAACGAAAATAGAAACCTGACGCATGACCCGCTGCATGTGTAACTAACACACAGGCATGCAGAGTATTTGGGTGCTGCTATTAGCAAGTGTCGATGTATTGTGTTAGAAGGCTATAAGTGCTTAGCCCCACCTCTGGGTGACGAGACATCGAGTACTGTTCGTACTTTAATCAGTTCTTTTCATTTTTCTAATCACTTTTTACTTTTTCTGCAGCCTAAACTTATTTCGAAGTGGCTTTACTCAAGATTTGCAGTACTGTTTGTGTCATTTCTTGTGTTGCTTTGAAGTGAGAATACACCGACAATTATTTTATAACATTTTTAAAGCTTGACCTCCTGAAACATTGGGCTCTGTCATTTATATAAAGAGAACATTGAGTGAAACAAAGAAAAACTTAAATGTTGTCCTCTGATCCATTATAAACTGTACTATATTTGATATATAAAAGACTCTAAATAATCAAAATAACTAGACTGTGTTAAAAGATCTCTTTAAGTTCAACATTACCAAAATGTATGGAAACAAAAGTATTTGTATGCATCCAATGCAAGTTGATCTCTATACTTTGTGATAAATAAGTGTTTATATTTGTGGTCTTCACCCTTTCAGACGTAAGGTTTAATACTCCTGCTGAGCCCCTGCAAGAGTTTTTTTAATATCATCATTATTTAGAACTGAGATGCCCAAACTAGGCCCCGCGGGCCAAAGTTGGCCTGTGGTAACCTTTGATTTGGTCCACCCTCCCATCTAAAAGAGGAGAATGATGGGAATGGTTTAGAGATAGTCAATTTAAATTTAATGTAAGCCTTTGTTTGTTTGTTTTTTGTTGTTGTTGTTAAAAGCTAACTGAAATTAAATGTTTCAATTAAATGGTGTAAATTAATCAGGTTTTCTTTAAATACTGTCACCTGTCAATGCAAAGTATTTAGTGACTAAATCAAGTCAAAGGCAGATTCTGCTTGACTTGTGTATTTAGCATTGATCTCCACTGTCTGGTAAATGTGATTGTTTATGTTTTTATTCCTATAAGTTACATTTTAAAAGTTATACTGCATTAGTTAATACAATTTAAAGTAGTATTTTCTATTTATTTTGAAATATTATGAAATAAATAGTGAAATTTCCCATGGCGACTTTAATGTAAAATAGTTTGATATTTTTACCTTTGGCCCACGGCTCTCAATGATGTTTGGTTTTTGGCCCTTCATATGAAAAAGTTTGGGCACCCCAGATTTAGAACATGTCACTTTAATAATTCCTTGGTGATGCTTCAGATTTATCACACACTACAGCCCTGATAATTTAAGTACTTATATTTGTCCCTTTTTATGCAAATATTGACAAACATCTGAAATATATTGTGAAAAATAGGATATTATGATTTTATTTATTTATATATATATATATATATGTATAAATAAATAAATGTATTACTACGCCCACATACAAGCAGAAAGAGACTCTACAGTTTGACAAATATTCCTGCTGTTAGGCAACATAATGTACTTTTAAGGCTATTTCAGACGAGAATTTAGTTGTTTAGATTGCAACTATGCAGTTTATTTACAAGGATGGTGCCTATATAAATTGTTTATCATTTCTGAGAGACAGCGCGTTGGTGTCCATTAGTCAAAGACGGTGGACATCGTCTATCCACAAGATGGAGCCAGGACCGTATAGCTGAGAAGATTACAACTGTTGAGCGCGAATAAGAAGCTGAAACATGGAAACATCACGGTTTTTAAGGTGGACCGGATAGAGTCAATAAGAAGCTGCGAATAAGAAGTTGGATTCAGCCTTGTCCCTCCTTAACGCAAACACAACAGCAGTCTGGTGGCTGCGCTGCTTTTTTCTGGGGTTAATTACTGTGATATTGTAACGGTCGCTTAATGTTTGATATGCATTGTGTATAAATGTCATATCCCCTTTAAGAGGACTTTTGAGATGTAAGCACCTTATTGGCAAGCACGCATTTATGGGAGCACAGTTCAGTTCAGGTCACTCTACCGCTGTATTATTCTTTTATTTCAATAATGTAACATTTTATTTTGTGAGGGATGTTTGAGTGTTTTTTTCTTTTCCTTTTGCCTACTCATTGTCGTTGACTGGCATGTATGTAGTCCTCAGCACTTGGGAGAAATGCATAAAGGCCAATGGGAAGAGCGAAATAGTTTCTGTCTCCTTTTTTACATTCCTGTCTCCGGGTAAACGCTGGACACCTGGTACCCGTCACAATACCGACGGCAACAGATAAATACTGTAGACTGTAAAAGACTGTAGGGAGATTTCTCTGTAGATGGAGGGCATTTCATGTCATATTTAGCCTTATAATCTTATCAAAATCAGCAGTTTTGTCATCACTAAACATTACGCTACAGAGAATTATTCAAATACTAGCTCTAAAGTGATGTTTGTGAATTAGTAATGGCTTCTGCTGTTCTGATGACAGCTGCAGATGTAAATGAATGGCGGAAGAAAGTAGTTCCTCATACAAAAGGGTTTTAGACTCTCCGTGTTTGATTTTCTTTTTTATATACATGATTGTGCCGTGGAACTGTTGTATAAACGCAATATCACACTCGTAGCAGTTCGATATGGCTGTTTATCAGCACTGGTGGGATGCTAAGGCAACGCACGCCTCCCACTTGTGCTGATATACAGCCATATCGCACTGCTACTTGTGTGTTATTGCTCATATATATATATACACACACACACACACACACACACACACACAGAATTATGAGCCCCCCCCCTTTAAATTTTTTTCTTTTTTAAATATTTACCAAATGATAACAGAGCAAAGAACACAGTATGTCTGATAATATTAGTTGTATTATTATTATTATAAGTATTATTATAAGTATTATTTGTTTTACTTCAGCTAGAGAAAAAGCAGTTTTTAATTTTTTAAAAAACATTTTTTTGGACAAAATTATATGCCCCTTTAAGCTATTTTTTCCCCCGAAAGTGTACAGAACAAACCATCGACTTGCCTAATTACCCTAACCTGCCTAGTTAACCGGTCCCACTTTATATTAAGTAGGTTTAATTGATATGTACTTACACCGAAACTAATAATTTGTTACAATTTACTTATTGTGTAAATACATGTTTTTACATTGTACTTTTGCTTGATTAAATACCTGCATGTAATTACATCTGTAATTAATTTCTGTAATTACATTTTTAAATAGACTGTTGACCATCTCTTATACCTTAACTTACCCTTAAACCTACCCATACCACCCAACCCCAACTATAACCATACCCGTATCCCATCTCAAGAGCACCATAAGTGTTCTCAAATACATTGTCAACACAGTAAAAACATTGTATTTATTTTTTGATGCAAGTACATTACAAGTAGTTAAGGACACCTAACTGGGACCACTTAACCTAATCAACCTAGTTAAGCATTTAAATGTCACTTTTAACTGTATAGAAGTGTCTTGAAAAATATCTAGTAAAATATTATTTACTGTCATCATGGCACAGATAAAATAAATCAGTTATTAGAAATTAGTTAATAAAACTATTATGATTCGAAATGTGTTGAAAAAGTTTTCTCTCCGTTAAACAAAAATTGGGGGAAAAAAATAAACAGGGGTGCTAATAATTCAGGGGGGCTAATAATTCTGGCTTTAACTATGTGTACAGTATATGTATACAATATAATTCAAACTGAATTTTAACTAACTGAGTGATGGTATACTGTTTCCGAACACTCCAACACCCTGGGCTGAGGTAGACACAGAATGACGCAGATTGTAGAAAAAATGTGACGTGATGAGGTGGGCTTTTTGGGAATCTTTAAAATCAAACTGAGAGATCGTACAGGTGTGAATACATCCATACTAGATCTTCTATTGTATTCATGTGGCTAGTGAGAATCATCGATGGGAAGAAAACACACGTCAATGAGTTCTAGAACCCAACCACCGATTGCATCATTTGTCACAGATGGTACTGTAGCTAAACGTTGTCTCTCCCCTAAAGTTCACTTTGGTAAGCTGTTTTGAAATAAACTTTGTTTGAAACTACATAATTTCTGTTCGTTCTTTCATTTCATTTGAAGTATACGGTTGCCCAAAACCTGCAAGTTCCCCTGAATTTTGTGAGACTTGCTTAATTTTGCAATTGCAGAATTGTAAACACCTGGAGGGCCCGTTTTTTTATCTACCTTGTTAGATGCCATCTCGCTGACCGAGTGACGTGTCTTGAGAGTCTCCAGCTGTTCGAGACACCAGTCCAGCTCGTCCAGAGTCTCCACTGCCAACTTCTGAAATGGCTCCTCTGCAAAATACAGCAGCACATTAATATACTCATGACCACTCAAATGAGTCAATGGTCTGTCTACAAGAGTTTATTGTCTAACCTGGTAGGCTTGTCTTGCACATGGATGGTGGGTTGTTTCCTGTAGACTTCCTGTAAAGATTTGCAAGATTGAGCACTTGTAAGGTACTGTAATTGAACATATATTTGGTTACTAGGACTGACTTACTTGCTAGGGACGCGGTCTTGCTGATGGGTCAAAACGGCAAAGTTGCTCCGCACAGTCCTCAAGCTGGCAAGGACCTATGAGACAAGCAATAAATATGTTTATGTCAAGAATACATCCTTTTTTTTTTTTTTTGAAAGATACTGTAACTTTCCTACAATTTTGTAGTTTAATATTTTAAAGAAATCGTTAATTCAGAAAATAAAATTTTTGATTGTACTAATATTATACAGAGAAATATTGAAACACCCATAAAAGATGTAAACTTAATCATATAACAATAGCATTTTTCTAGCAGTATTTTTTAATTCAATCGTTTTATAGAAACTCTATTGTTGTTAAAAGTTTTAACAGAATTTAACAAATTGCTAGAAAAATCTATTTAGCTTTTACATTGACATTTGCAATAAATTTGAATTGATGTATGAATTTCAAATTATTTTATGTACATTAGAATCTGTCCTTTTTAGTATTTTAATCTTTAAACTTTGTAAACAATTTAGCAACCTAACATATTTTATACTTACTGTGTGTATTTATATTATAAGTACAGCTAAGAATAGGTATGTTATATTTTTTCATAAATTGATTTCTTAAGCTTTATCACAAACTAACAATTATTCACCCATATTTTCACCTTTTATTTTCACAAACATTATACGAAACAGTAAGTAGACACTTTAGTTGCATTAACTTAATTTGCATACTGTATACATAACATCACTTATATTTTATTTCACTTGTGTCGTTTAGTGTAATGTAAATGGCAACATATCGTTGGCCAATATATTTTACTAGTAATTATAAATATCAATATATACTTTTAAATTATATTTGATAAAACAAAATGTTTTAATCTTAAATCACATTAGTTTGTCTTTTAAAATACCTAAGTAACAAGTATCTTAAGCTATTTTGCTTCTTGAGTACATGGGTTTTTTCCCATTAGTTTAACTTCAGATGTCAAATGTCTGGCTTGTCTGAAATTCTACAGCTCTTCAGGAGTTTCAAAAGGACATGAAGGGTATCTGATTTCCAAAGCCATGCAGATTTCTCATCTGTCAGCATCCATATCGACGAACATGGTATTGGATTCCTAGCCTGTTTTGTAAACGGAGTACAGTGGTGACGCAAATCCCACGTAAAGCAAGATGCATAAGAGCGGAAGGCCCAACCCCGGCGATGCCAAAGGCAGAAAACTTCATTTACTCACAAACAACCCCACCTCCAAATATTAAGATATCCAACTTTCAAATGTGTGGTATAAAGTCTAACTGAAAAAAAAAACCCACTCAACTACTAACCTGTGCAAATGGTGTAACTATCATGTCTTCTCCATGTCTGTAAGAGAAAAATACATCAACAAATCAAACACAAAAATGCCATAAAGGAAAAGACAGCTCTTTAATCTCCCAATAATAAAAAGAGGCACATAAAATAACTAAAGGATCAGTGAAAAAGAGTTTAACTGTGGGGGCTTAAGGATGTGGTCGGCTTCAGGTTACAGCGCGGCTTCATTCAAAGGAGAAATACGCTTTTGATTAACATGCAGTTTGGATGGAAATAAAAGAAATAAAGCTCAGCATAAGGAAGGCACCTCCAATTGGATACCAGAAGTCCTCCATTAAAAGCTTATGGAAACACGTAATAAGAGCCTAGAGCGTTTTCGGGAAGGGTTTGTCATGCACGTGTGTTTGAGGAGCAGTGGGAGAGAAGCCGAACTGGGGAACACACTAGGATTTGCATTTTTATCCATTTGTTCCAAAGGATTTTTTGGTGGCATGCGGATCATTTGTGGTGGTGAAGAATAAACAGGGGAGGCTCTGAGGTTAGACTGGACTTCAGACACTACACTCTTAAAAATAAAGGCTTCTTTATAGGCACTGTTTCCAAGGTTCAAGGTTCCGTGAAGGACTTTTAACAGCCACAAAATTGCATAAAGGTTTATTTAAAGGGGTCATGAAATGAGAAATCAAATTTCCGGTGCATTTTTAACATCACTTTTAGTTTTGTCAACAAAATTATGGGCGGAAAAAAAGTGTTGCTCGTAGCATAAAACAAACAGAAACTTGACAGGTCTGCTGCGCCAGTAACATAACTGCGTGATGAATAAACAGCATATTTTGTTGATATAAAAGACAAGTCAAAACGACCAATACTAACAGTCACACTTTACTTGAAGGGGTGTTCAAAAGACTGTCATGAAACATTTATAATCATGACACGGCACATCTTGAAAATGAAAGAAATTTTATGCATGCTGTAATTAAGGGCTCTATCTTAGTTGTGCAAAACGAGAAAACTAGGGTTGCTTTTGTCTGAAAATAGCATCACATGGCGCCAAAAACATCTTGCGCCTTATTGCGCTGGGTGTATGATAGAGCCCTAAATGTTATTCGCAGTTATGTCTTTTGTATGTAAAGATCACATTGTTTGCAGTGTCTTTATGACATAACTTGACATAAACAAATACACATATCATAACCTGTTTTTGTCTGTCCTGACAACTTATTAAATTGTCAAGACAAAACAACATTATCAAGAAAATAACTTGTCATAAATCTGTCATAAACATGACTGTCATTAGGCCATTATAACGGTGTCATGAATATTTTTCTGAACACCGTTTTTCAGTGGAGCAAATTGAATTTATCATTAAAATATCTAATTTGAAAGTATCAATATTCTGTCAAACAATGTTATAACAGTGTCATTAATATTTATTGGAATTCAATAACAAATACAATCAAGAAGTCAAGAAAAATATTAAAGATGCTATAATAAAATGAATGACACCATTATCAGTGTTTCTGCAGTTCTTACCAAGTTAAATTTAAGACTTTAAGACATTTTAAGACCATTATGAATGAAATTTTAGACTTTTGCCGAGCTAAATGCTAAGGATTTTTTAATATCCCAATTGGGAAATATTTACACTTGCCCAATCATAAAAATATTATAATTTAATAAATTTAATAATAAAAATATAGGTCAGGTCAGTATCCTCAGCAGTAAATATATAGAGAACTTTTAAGCAAACATTAAAGGAAAGTAATTAAATGCTATTTTTAAATAAAGAGTTAAAAGTTTTATTGAGATTACGATTCTTGGCAATTGTATGGGTGTTTCTGACCAGATTGGGTAACTACACATATGAACAACAGAAAATTAAGACTTAAGACCAACACAACACAACACAACACAACACAACACAACATTTTATTAGATTTCAAAACTTGCTTTTGAGATTTAAGACATTTTAAGACTTTAAGACTTAGCGGATACACTGATTATAATTTCCTTACAACAAACATGTTCATGACAGACTTATGACAAGATATGTTGTCTTGGTAATTATTGGTAGGTGAATTTTGTTCATTTTAAGTTGTAACATTTGCATTTAAAACATAACTGAGAGAATGACACTTTATGACTGCTGTCATAAGCATATGCATAAAATCCGATTCATTTTTATAACATGCATCACTTCATGATTTTAAAGATTTTATGACAGTCTAATGAACACCCCTTTAAGTAAAGTGTTACCATAAAATTGCAAATGTAATTCAAGTCCCCTTCAAATATTCTCCACTATTTCATTCTTTCAGAAACTCAAATGGTTCTTCTTTATCACTGCAAACCCTTCTTATTTTTAAGAGTGTTGGGGAGAAAACGGGTCTGGATCTTGTAGTGGAGAAATGCGTGATGACCCTTTCAAGAGCAAGTCAATATTTCTCTCTGTCTCCTCTCACCGATTGAGCCAGTTGACTTCCCAGTGCTTCAAACTCTCTTCCCTTTGAAAAGACAAGATTAATTAAGTAACTCTTTCACACTTAAGCAGTTATAGTACCCTATTTGTTTTCATTGGGATGGCGTGAACCAGCTTTAAACTGTTTCAATTTGGACAAATGGCTTTGAGGCAAGCTGGAAAAATAAACTGTAGGGGCAAAAGTAAAAACAAGAATGTGGTGCCCTTTTTCCGACTTTATGTATCCCTGCAAACCAGAGCTGACATGCAAGCATGCTCAGATGGAAAGAACAGCTGGAAATGGTAATAATGAGGAGTTTCTAACCAGAGGCTTGGATTTTCCAAAATGACCAAGCAATATGATTTGATGTAATATGCTATTAAAGTGGTGCGTCTTGGGAGAAGTGCGTTTCAGACATAATCAACCAGCTGTTGGGAGTCACATCTGTTTTAAGGGAAAGGTTTACAGTCCTAATTAACAGAACTCGTCGAGCCACAAAACACTGTAGATCAAGTACACACTTTGAAGTGAAACACGTGAAGCTTGCAGTGAGTCAAACTACATGCAAAAGTTTCGAAATGTTTTAGAATGAAGGTTTTTATGATCAGCAAGTCTTTGTTTATTTGATCAAGAACATAAATCTTGTGAAGTGCCGACAAATAAAAAAAAATTACTAATGAAAGCTGAAAATGGGCGACACGGTGGCATTTAAGAGTCTTCAGTTGTGTCTTTTTCTTTTGTTAATACTGTTGGTTTGATGCGCTGTGATTGTCTCACGCTGCTCCAGCAACAATTAAAGTCATACATGACGTCACGCTTTACTAAGTCACATCTGTGTGGATTATTTCAAGATATATTCCCTTATCAAGTCGATCAACTCGATCTCTCGACATGTATGATGGATAAAACCTGCCATATGAAACACCGTGACGATCTTAGTTTGGTTTCAACACAAGCAGAGGTGAGGGGGTGTAGCAGTGAAAAGTGAAAGTACCTGCCCCCATTACGTCAGTAGTGATTCACTCTCTGTATTATGCTGCCTGACTGCCTGGGGTTTCAACTAGGTCCGGTGGTGACGTAATTTCCCCTTTAAGCTATTCATAACACAACACAATCTAACATAAGCTTAGCCTGACTAAAATAGTTTTAAAACAGAACATTACCTGTCTAACAGTAATACTTCGGCTATGGTGTCGTCCTTCCTCCAGTGTGCAAAAGTAACTCCAATATTTATTCAGGATTTTAAAGTTTCTATTCAGCATTTGATTTCACTGCGTCTGTGATTGTATCGTGAACGCGCAGTGCTCATGCAGGATCTGCGTGAACAGAGATGCCCAGAAGTCCGAATCTACATTTGCTCACAGACAGATTGAGCTACTTATTGGAATTATGGAAGATGTCGGCCCGACAATTTAAATTGGATGAACATTTTTTAGTTTTATGCCTTACCCCGAATATAAAAATACATATAAACACATTTAGATCACTTAATTTAATCATTACTATTGGACTGTGAAGAGACTTCCAACCAGTACAACAAAAAATGTTTCTGTAGACAATCACCTACTGCACCTTTAATAAAGTTATACAACATTTTAGTTTCAGCTCAGATTTTTAATTTCATTAACTAAACTGTAAGCGAATCATAATTCTATCATTATTTTAAATATATAGTTAAACTACCTTATGCGCTTATAACTTGATGTTTTTGTGCTTAAAATACCTTATTTTATTATGATTCACTTATTTTTCTTTCTCATAACTCAGTGTCAATTACTGAATAAACTAGATTAGTTGTGATTAATTGATAGATTTTTAAATCAGCCTTATTTTGGTTTTCTGAAATATCTAATTTGGGTCTTCAGGTAAAATTCTGAAATGTCTGATATTAATAAATCATAAAAAAAAAAAGTCATCTCAATTTTCAGACAATGTCTTTTCTGAATAAATGTTTTTATTTTAATAATAACAAAAATTTTGCACAGTTTTGTAAATAAATAAAAAAAAGAAAAAATAAGGTTAAAAAAGTAACTTTTTTAATGTGACTTTTTCTTTTATCCAGAAAGCATGCATTTGTGCAGAGTAATGAATATGATAAGACGTCTTTTTCATGCAACATGTGATTGAATAAAGAGGATACTCACAGCTCACTGGCCGTGGATGAATTTCGAGACATGGCCTTGGGTGAGAGGTCAAAGTCCGAGTCGGAGCGGTACAGGAAAGACTCGCGCCGCTGACTGTGAGGGAAATTGGCCTGCAACACGAGGCCAGAGCCGGGACTGGCCTGAGAGTCCAGAGGACTGCGGCCCACCGACAGCCCATTCTCCACATCAAAACTGAAACATAAACACAGAGAAAATCAGTTAAAACAAGTCACCTGTGATCATGTATTCAATGAACACTAGACCTTTTTTTAAATAGGCTCAATTTACAAGCCACCTAGAGTTAAACAGTTGAGTATGACCAATTTGGAATCCATTCAGCTGATTTCTGGGTCCGGCCGAAGCACATTTAGCTTAGCATAGATCACTGAATTCGATTAGACCATTAGTCATTAGCCTTGATCATTTTTTTCCACCAGTCTAATTTGACGATGTAAAAAGATGCAAGCTTTAAATAGGAAAAGAATCAACTCTTTTTTAATTTTTATTGTGAGACACGAATGGGCATAATCCGATTCAATGATTTGTGGTAAGCTAAAGAGTCCCAATCAGACCTGGAGACCAGCTGAAAAAAAATGGTTAAACTCAACTGTTAAACTCTAGTGGAGCTGTAAAAGGAGAGTTTCTTTTTTTATTGTTCTTATATCAGATAAATTGTAGCCAGCATCGCTAAATGCTCAGCACACAGACTGTGCCAATGACCTGAACTGGTGGAGAAGGTCATTGAGACCTTGATAAAAATGGTTACACACAAACGCACAGCGGGACTCTTCCTGCGTCAATCCAGACGTAAGCACTAACCTTGCTGGTTAATATGACTGCGCTAGACCTACAGTATATCACAGTCTCAGTGATACATTTCAAACTTAGGATACTGTCTCACTAACACCCAGCCAGCAGAATTAGGATGAAACTATTTGGGTTATAAAAGTATTCATAATTACTTCTGAACAAATGCAGTGTTGTGTTAATCATTACAATGTGAAACTTCTAGTATTATATAAATCTTAATTTTAATGAACAAATGTAGGGCTTGGCCTAATGGAATGATCACAGTGACTATTTTCATACCAATCGATATCAGTAATAATCACAAATCATAATAAATGTGAAATCCTTTGTAATGTTTTGACAATATTTTGGTAGTAGGGAGTGTGAACCTACACTGGTCTCATGGTTCAGTTTATTTACTATTATCATACTGTATCAATCAATTTGGTTCAATTCAATATTACAGTGCATTGACGATGCTTTCCCTCCATAATTTTTAATTGTACTCAGCAACACAAGAACAAAAGTTTGTCTTTTAATACAAGTAATCAGATATACAAACACTACCTTCTATTTTTACATTCTTAAAGAAAACACTTCTTAATGTATTAAACAAAACATTAGTACAGGCACAGAAGACAACAGGAGCACTTAGAGAAAAAACACAATAGTAAATAATAATCCTGATTGCTTTTTAAGCACTGTCGAGCGAGTTCTTATATACCTGCGATTGGCAATTTTGTTTATGCACTGAGCAAAAATTTCTGTGATTGGCTCTAAAGGTCAGTTATGTTCACAGAGGGTGATGCAGACACTGAAGGCTGCATCCAATCCACTGATCCATCAGCGTCTATCCATATTTGCTTATAGACATATAGGTTTAGAAAACTCACTCTGCAGACACGCTTGTAACAGCCAATAGAGGAGAGGTAACGTTACCTACCGAACACCCCAGCAGGTCACACGGTCCACAGTGAGAGACAGAGAGGGAGCTTTACAGCTTTTATTTTCTACCTAGCAATGAAATAGGGTTGTCTTTGGTTTTACTGTACCTTCAGTATCAGTGAAAGACTATCCCAGCCAATTCAAAAGCAGTAAAATTGTGTAGAATTGTCTTCTTTTTTTTATTTTTTTAATTAGAGCATTTCAATTAGTTGCACTCGCCTACCTCAAAATAGATTGTTACTTCAATATAGCATAAATTGTATCAGTATAATAACTGGTTTTGATATATTACTGAACCAATACCAAATAATCAGCATCTGCATCACGATGCATCAAAGAATTAATAACATAACACAATCATTTTGATACCGCTAGCTTTTGGTTTCTTTTCTAGACTTTGAATGAGTGTGGAGCGTTAGAGTCTATGGAGCACGAGAGAGCTCTTGGATTTTATCTAAAATACCTTCATTTGTGTGTTGGTGCCAGATGAGCTGGCCAGAGTATTTCAGAAACTGTTGATCTACTGGGATTTTCACGCACAACCATCTCTAGGGTTTACAGAGTTACATACAGTTCCAATAAGAGAAAATATCCAGTGAGTGGCAGTTCTGTAGGCACAAACGTCTTGTTGACGCCAATGGTCAGACTGGTTTGAGCTGATAGAAAGGCCACAGTAACCTTAAATAACCACTGGTTACAACCGAAGTATGCAGAAGAGCATCTCTGAATGCACAACACGTCCAACCTTGAGGCAGATGGGTTACAGCAGTAGAAGACCATACCGGGTGCCACTCCTGTCAGCTAAGAACGAAAAAATGAGGCTACAATTTGCACAGGCTAACCAAAATTGGACAATAGGAGATAGGAAAAACATTGCTTGGCCTAATGAGTCTCAATTTCTGCTTGACATTCGAATGGTAGGGTCAGAATTTGGCATCAACAACATGAAAGCATGGATCCATCCTGCCTAGTATTAACGTTTCAGGCTGCTGCTGGTGGTGTAATGGTGTAGGGGATATTTTCTTGGCACATGGGCTCGTTAGTACCAACTGAGCATCGTGTCAACACCACAGCCTACCTGAGAATTGTTGTTGACCATGTCCAACCCTTTATGAACAAAGTGAACCCATCTTCTGATGGTTACTTCCTGCAGAATAATGCATTCAGACTGGTTTCTTGAACATGAGAATGAGTTCACTGTACTCAAGTGGCCTCCACAGTCAGCAGATCTCAATCCAATAGAGCAACTTTGGGATGTGATGGAACGGGAGATTTGGATCATGGATGTGCAGCCGACAAATCTGCAGCAACTGCATGATGCTATCATGTCAATATGGACCAAAATCCCCAAGGAATATTTCCAGTACCTTGTTGAATCTATGCCATGAAGCATTAAGGCAGTTCTGAAGGCAAAAGTGTGTCCAATGCGGCACTAGTAAAGTGTACCTAATAAAGTGGCCGGTGAGTGAGATCACAGTCTTGGAGATCAAAGATCACTCTCTATCATTAGTTATAGTATGAAATTAACCTTGCTCAACATTGTCTTTCATGTACTTTTAAAAATACACTGAAAGTCAATGTACACCGAAACTACAAACACTCTTATATTCTAGATTATAAAAATAAAAATAAATTCATACTTGTTCTGAATAACAAAGGGTGAGTAACCAAAGATTTTTAATATCTGGGTAAATTCCTTTAAATGACACTATATACACAACAACACAAGCAGACTATGAAAGCTCAGGATTGGAGCACATTTCACAAACGCAGAGACAGTGAGTCTGTTAAAGTGAAAGTGAATGAGAGAGATGCATTGAGATTTGGTGAGCCGCCGGAAGCACGGTATGTGCATCTTGGTGACAGATTGAGGTTTTGTGGAGCGAGTAAGACCTCCTGAGACTCAGAGATCTGAATGGGCTTCGCTCTTCAAGGTCAGTGTGATGCAGGAATGCGGAGCTATAAATAGCCTCGGCTCATTGACGTGGAAGCATGTGAGTGGGCTAAAAATAGCCTCCGCAGGTAAAGTCAATTTGCAATCAGACTGGCAGAGAATTGATACACACCATATATGGTGATTTCATTCCTCTGGTGCTCAGTCCGCTTGATAATCTGCTGCTAATGAGGAACTTGTGTGTTTTTAGGTGAGTGTGAAGGAGAGAAACAACACTTTTTTTTCTTTTTTTTTTAAGAAAGCAAGATATGTACTGCATAAATGAAGATCTATTCATCTATCTATCTATCTATCTATCTATCTATCTATCTATCTATCTATCTATCTATCCATCCATCCATCCATCCATCCATCCATCCATCCATCCATCCATCCATCCATCTAGCTATCTATCTATCTTATAAAATATTTTCAAATATTTTTCAAATATTTCCCGAATGATATTTAATAGAGCAAGGCATTTTGCACTGTATTTTCTACAATATTGTTTCTTCTAGAGAAGTTTTATTTGTTTTGTTTTTCTGTTATTTTTTTTTTAAATGTAAACCATGTTAGGCACAATATTATTAGCTCCCTTTTTTAGATATTATGATCATTTTCTTTTGATTGTCTAAAGAACAAACCATCATTATACAATGGCTTGCCAAATTAATCTAATTAAACTAGTTAAGCCTTTAAATTGCACTTTAAGTGCCTTATATAGTAACATTAATTCTGTTCGGTTCTAGAATCTGATTGGCTGATTGCCATGAGGTATTCTGCAATATCAGCACTCATACAGCCTCTTCACTTTTGAGAACTACTCCGCCCACATAACGTGACAGTAGATAAATAAACTCACTACAGTTTAAAAAATTTTGCAGCTGTTGGATAACAATGTACTTTTGAGGCTATTTTTAGGGAAGAATGTAGTTGTTTAGATTGCATCTATGCAGTTTATTTATAAGAATACTGCCTATTTTAAATATTTATAATTACAGAGGTTCAGCGCATAGCTCCAACCACCTCCAACCCACACCTGCTTAATAGTCTCTAGTACTCTTAAACACCTTGAGTAGCTGTGTTTGATTAGGGTTGGAGCAAAACTGTGCAGAGCTGCGGCCCTCCAGGAATCGAGTTTGAGACCTATGCGCTAGAGCAGTGATTCTCAAACTGTGGTACGTGTACCACTAGTAGTACATGGGCTTACTTCTAGTGGTACACGGAGGAATCACTGAGTAACAAAAGAAAAAATGAATACAATTTTAATCATTTGATGAGTACGATAACACCAATGTGATCAGTTTTGGTTGTTCTCTAAAGCCTACGATCAAAGCGATGCGCTTAGAATGTTTGCTTAAGTGCATCTCGTCATCAGCTGCTAAAAATCTTTTTAATTGGCACAGAACTAGAGAAAGAGGTGTGTGGTGCTTGCAGAGCAGATACTCTAGCGCAGTAGTCCCCAACCCTTGGGCCACAGACCAGCACCGGTCTATAGATCAACTGGTACCGGACCGCACAAAAA